CTTTCAATGGATTACACATGAGAGGAAGCCTCTGTGAAATGGAGAAGAGTGGAAAAATCCATAAAGATTCTCTCAAATGCTTTGTTGTGGAGAAGTGTTTCTTTTGAAATACCATTTAGTCTTGGTAGAGTTTATATTGTTGTGCCTCACTTAGTTAAGGTACTTTTGATTTTATTGATTCTGGGGATTAGAACAGACAAAATGTTTATTGAATAAATGACAGGATGGAAGTAAATACAACAAGATGTTCTAATAGTTAGTCATTTATTAACAGGTATCTTAACTCCCAACACAGAATAATACCCATATATATGATTCTGCACATGAATATTTTCCACACTTTTTGTGTGTGTTTTTTTGTGCTGAAGTCTATCATGGGTATAAAACTGAATGAAAATTATATTGGCATGCCAGACCTCAATGAAATAACAGTACCATATTTTCGCGTACATAAGATGCGACTTTTACAAAGTTTTACGTACCCCGCACCCAGGGTGCATCTTAGACATTGGTGCGTCTTACGTAAAATATTTTTTACACAAATCGTCAAAACCCACGTCTTATTTATGAGTGCGTCTAATAATTAGGTGTGCTTTATATGCGCTAAAATACGGTAAGTATTTTTTTTAAAACTAACGGTACAGTGTGTGATATTGAAGGGCAATTATTGCGGTCGATATTAACGTTTTTCCTTCCTAGTTGTAAAAATATTTGGGTAAGTGTTCAGAAATTACCACGTGTACCAATCCAATGCAGTCCACTTCAAATTTAAAATCCTTTCGTTTCAATGTTTTGTATACCGTAATTATTGCAGATCTAAGTTTAGTTGGAGTAAATGTTTTAAATTTATATAGTATAGTATGTTTAAATAGTTTTGGCGTTTATTGTTTCAAGAATCTAGATACCAGGTACTCAACTCATCCACTATTGGCCCGGTGGCAGTTTAATGCTTATTAGTGAGAACACAAGTTTTAAATGTCTTGACCAATCCTTGTGTCATTCATAGCAAACATTTGGTACAAAAGAACTCAGTTGGCACGCTGATGAAAATCATCATTATTGCAGTGAATTGGGTTTTAAATCTATGGTCTCAATGATTGACTTTTTCTTTAAAAACAATGAAAATTTTCAACATTAGCTACTTCGTGCTTGAATTTATTGCTATCAAGCAAATAATTAATTTTTACTAGTTATTTCGAGGATGCCAATCTGATTTTTGAAGACGGAAAGGCTTCTTTTGGTGCTGAACTCAAAGACATCTTGCACAACATTACTTATTCATTAGAAATATTTTTCTAAGTCAATAAACATCAAATTGGTGTCAAAATAACTCTATTCAAGTTCAAGCACTATGTTAGCCACCTGAGATATGCTGAGTTCCAAACCTGTTTGGGATGAGAGTGTTTTTTTGGACCATTTGGAAATGCTATGGAAAGAGTGAGGGATAAATCCATTTCATGACACAGCCAGTTGGTGAAGTTTAGGAGCGAATAATTCAGCTTAAATAATATTGAGCAGTTTAAGAAGTACTATCCAAGAGTTTTGGCTATTGAGATCTCCATCCAAAAGACTTTTCATTCCCCAGTTGTTATATTTAACAAAATGTGTTAAACTAATAGTAATGAAGTAGAGTATGACATCACTTGAGACAATAGGGGGGGAAGGGATTTGCACAAAATTTTGTCTGAATAGAGCTAGGCACACACTAAAATGACTTGATTCCTACTGTTTTTTACCAGTACAATAGAACTGGTCCAAAATTGGATATTTGTCCTGGATAGTCATTTTTGTAACCAGTAAGTAGTAATTGTTATTTTAGGACAAAATACCATGGTGTAAAATGACTTCAAATGTCCATATTTGCAACTGTCCTGATTTTAAATTTGAAAATTTTTAAATGTCCTGATTTTAAGTTTAAAAAAAAAAAAACACAACTAAATGATCATGTCATTGTCATACACCAATCAACCAAACTCAACATACCCTGGCTTTCCACTGCAGTGAAACATGGAAATAACTAAACTTGAAAAAGGCTAAACTTAAACTAACTTTAGGCCTTTTTCTTAACTGTCCCTAAAAGTGTTAAATTAGAAAAAATATCAATAAAATGCAGTTATTTTCAGACATTGTATAGAACTGGTATGAACTGTACCATGGGCCATTGCCACAGCATCTTAAATAATCTTAACAACGTAGTCTCTGATTGTGACATATCATATGGCTCAGGGCTGCCGAGAGCATTATTAGGTGTTGTTGAACAAGACTAAAAATTGGCCCCTCACTTTATAGAATGCTAGTCAATATACCCGGCGCCGTCCGGATTGCATTTGGAAAAACAACAACTTTACAGCCTTTAATTAACATTAAGATAAATTGCCATGTAAAACAACAACAAAAAAACAAACCCTATAGTAAAAAAAAAAAATTATTTGGTCGCCTATAAAAACATATTTATAACAACTTTTGTAAATCATTCCTTCCCCGAAGGCATCCCCATACTGGTGGGTTTCCGATACCAGTGGGTTCCCGATTCTGTCGGTAATTTGATCCCGGTGGGTTCCCGATCCCATGGGCATGGATATTATGAGTTCAGTACCCTTCGGTATTTGAATATGGATATTCAAGTGTATATATAAGTTTGGTAAAATTCCATCTATTCATGTAGGAGTATTTGTTGTTAATTTTATTCATATTATATAGTATAGCTCATACAATGCAAAGTTCACACACCCCCCCCCCCCCCCCCAGGATTTGATTCTGGATAATGATGGATATATGCCAAGTTTGGTCAAGATCCATTAAACTATTTAAGGCCTCCGCCTTTGTCATGGAACAAAGTACAAACTAACAAACAAATTTTCACTTTTATATTTATTATTTCTTCAGTTTAACTAAAATAAACTACCGCAAATGACACTAACACCCGAATAGCTTGAGTCTAATGGTACACGGGTGCGAATGGCGGGCGGTGCTTGTCTGGGTCCATTTTGAGAATTTTGACTCACTCAGTGCTATTCGGATGTCATTTTTAAAAAATCCCAACCTCCCGTCACTCAGGCGCTAACTCACTCATTTTTAACACTTGCTGAACATGCATAGATCACCACTTTGTCACAAGGGTTTGAGTTATTTCACGGTACTTTCTAAACGAATCCAAAATCAGCATCCATTTGCTACATTTACTCAAATTGATCAAAAAGTTTTTGAACTTACGGTAAATCGAACTTACCATTGCCAAACTCCTTTTTTTTTCCCTTTCGAAATTCCCAATATTTTGTCCCCCGAATTCCCAAGATTTCCCAAGGCAATAAAATGCACTATTATAGAGTTGTAGAAGGAATAAACAGAGTAGGGTTAAACCTGAAAAAAGAAACGCAACAAAACAACGAACGTGTCAGCGAAAAAAACAACAGCAAAAAATGGTAAAAAAATAAAAATAAGAAATATCACTTAGCTTGGACGTAGTATCCGTGGGCAGCAAAAGAAATGAGCAATATAGAAATAGAGTTATAATAAAGGGGTTTTAATTAATTAGTACGATAATAGCTTGCATTTGCATTAATGCACCAGGAATACACGGTATAGTTATCAAATGAAAGTTATTTAATAATTTTATTTTTTACAGGGTTTATCACATCAAATTTGATACCTCATTTTGTCGTACAAACCAAGCAATAATATTTTAAATAGTTTTTTTTAATCCCTACCTCTCACTTCTGGTACCCGGGTACGAGAAAAGCCACTTCGTTTTTTTTTTAAAATCATCAGTTTCATTAAAAGTACAACCAACCTAAAATTGGTTTAAAACCAGATTTAAAATTGGAAAGTAGTAAAATAAATAATTTTTGCTTTTTACAAAAAAAAATTAATTTAAAATTTCCTTTATTTTCAAGATTAATTGAAATCTTTTTCTAAATTTTCAAATTTTGCTCCAACTTATAATTTCCCAAGGTTTCAACATATTTTTATAATTATTCCCCAGATCCCAAGCAGGGTTGTGAATTCGCAAGATCTTGGGAAATTTTCCAAGGTCTGGTAGCTAACACTAACGGTATTTTTTCTCCGTGTTCCACGCAACTATTCATTTTCTAAATCCGCATAGACAACTAGTCAACTACCTAAATGAATAAATAGACCATTATTTCATCTAACTTTTAAAAAGATTGTATTGTAGTTTTCATATGAAAATTAGAGCGAAAAACAAATAAAAAATTATTTTACAAAATATAGAGATATAACAATGATGTGCTCCTCCAGTAACACAGAGCAGATAGAACCGAGTGCAACTTGTAAACAAAGGGCAGATCACTCATATACAGAAAGTATCTGACCCGTCAGGTCCAAATAATCTCCCGTCGTTCGGGGTGCTTCCATTGAAGTTCAGACTGTTACTGTTACTGTTAGTAGTGGCTAGTGTTATTATTGGTGTAGTGGTTAGTGTTATTTTTGGTAACCCTTATTTTAGCGCAATTTATTATTTCCAAATACACAAAAACAACAGAGGCGGAGTATTCAATTTCATTATCTCACATTACAATAAAACTGTGATGTGGTAACGTCAGTAACGTGTTCAAATTCGTCAAAGATGAGATAGTAACTTTAGGGCAGTATCAGTAACACTAACAGTGAGTGTCCGAGTAGTGTACAACAGTGGCGTATACTGCCTGGACTTGTCTTAGCTCATCTGGTAATCATTGTGCCGCATCTCCCCAGAATAATTCGCCAAAACCCCAGAACCATTGGTTGACATCTTAGTCTTAGTGACTTAGTGACAATGTTAATTTCAATGCTACATTATACATTGCATTGTAAATAATTTTGTAGTAGTCTACACATTACTATTACTAGTATTACACTATACACCACAACTGATAATGCATGATCAGTACTAATCATTTACTATCAGTATCACTTCACTGATTATATATAGTCTGTGCAGTATCATCAGCCATCAGCATGCAGATTACTATAGTTATAGTGAGTGAGTACGCAGAGTTCCAAACTGAATCGGTATTGGACCGCAAGTTGCTGAGGTGACAGACCCTGACATCAATAACAACTGATTCCAATTAAAAATGAAATCAACTCGCTTAAAAGTAAGACCATTTTTATAAAATCTTCTATCAACTCTATAGTATAGTCATGTGAATGTGTGCGACAACAACAAAAGAAAAAACTTAATTTAAAAAAAACAACAACTGTCTTTTGAGTCTTGACAACATTACAAACAAGTGACATACTATGTCTACTGTACAGGCCCAACTCCTAGGCCACACTTACCAGACTGAACTCTGTGATGGCCCCCTGGCGCCCCTGGGCATGCTCCGGCTCCAGCGCCCCTCCTAAATATTTTCTCGATTCATTTCAGTTGTGCTTGTGGTGCCTCAGTAGATTTTTTTAAAACCAAACCAGTGTAGCCCCCACAGTCACACCTTCATGATTTTGTTCCTGGCAAAATAGTCCATCCTCAAAAATCATGTTAAAGTGAAAATCATTTTATTGCCCAACAGCATTTTACATATTGAATGATATTGATGCAGAACAAAAATTAAAACAAAACTTTAAAAGGAGCTTTATTGTTTTCCAAAGAAATGTTATTTAAGGTTACTCATTGATTGTTCATGACATAAAAAATCTCTTGTTCTTTCTGCTAATTTCTGAGTTGTAATCTCAGGTTTTCAATGCCTACTTACTTATCATCACAGAATGAATGAACATTTCCTAGTAGAGTTCTATTTTTTTCCTTGATGTACAGTTTAGGAAAAGCGTGCTAAATACAGTTAGTCGGAGTTGAGTTAGAGTTGAGATGTAGTAGCGTGAGAGCTGTGTGATTAGACAGTTGACAGTTTAGTGTGAGGACGTGTCTTTCTTAATGATGGAATACTATAGATATATATGTGAAATTACATTCATGCAAGGATTATATATTAATATTATCAATATAAAGTGTGTTCAATAAAGTACTGTAAGTTTAACCAGGATTCAGTATTCTTATTTGCGTGCCCGGATTATAAGTGGAAGAATGAAGAAGCCTTAGTCGGCATCCTGAAATATCAACATAACATAAGTAACCATACTACTGACATAACCCACAGCATAAGAAATAAGCTCCCACGCCATGTCAGAGTAGGTGTGTTACTAGTCATGAACATTAATTAAATAGGAGTTATAACTTTCTTAGAGAGCACAGACAGATAATTTTAATTTTATTTGATGAAACTTGATAATTTTTTATGATTTACAAAACAAGGCACAACATTCACTTATTTTTTCCCTATGAGATCTTACTTACCTTTGTGTATATATTATTTTTATATATTTATAATTAATTTTTAAAAAATATTTATATATATATATATTTATATATGTAGACTTTATTTAAGTACTATTTGTATTTGTGTTTAGTTCAATGGAAATATGACAAAGCCAAGAGAAAAAGTGCTTGGGCTTGTACCTTTGGAAATGAGTGAAGCATTTCATGAGAAAACAAAGCAGGAATTGAACAGATTAAGAGGGAATGTGGAAAAGAGTTTAAAAGATGAAATAAAAAGGTATTTATATTTATGTGGTTTTTTTTGCCTTTAAGTGTACACTATACTTACACATCCATGTTTTATTTTAGGGGGAGGGTGGGGTGATTTTAATTCCCATTTTAAAAGATGAAAGAAGAAAAAGTACAGGTATTGTTATTTATTGGAAGTATAAATAATGTTTGCACTAATCTATATATTTATTTATTTGGCCGGGGGAGGGGGGGGTATACCTTGGTTATATCCAGCTTTGAAAATTGTTTTAATGGAGATAAACTCTTTCTGAAATAATGCAAACAAATAGTTATTTAATAAAAAAAACCAGAACATGCATTTTTAGGAATTTTCTACTAGTATATGTTAAACTAAATCCAAGAAAGAAAAACTAAACTGTTAATAATAACATTTTCAATAGACTGATATAATGAAACCATTGCTCAAATTCTGTGCTGTGAACTTATTTTGTCAGAGTTTAACAGTCTTATGGATATCTACTAGTACACAGAGCTGCACAAAAATAATGGCTTAGTTGTTAACATGACATTTGATATTTTTTTCAATATTATCATCATTTATCTCATTATCACCACATATAATTACATACATGGTAAAAAATGGCATATAGATGCTTCAGCTGCTAATAAACCTCCAGAAAGATAAAATTTAACAAAAAAATTATTTAGTGAGGCATATAATTTCTTAAACATTACCACTAATACAAAACATTTTCTGTTTTTACAATATGTCTGCTCTTTATACACGTCAATTCTGCATGCTGATGGCCTTCAGGCTTTGAGATTTTTTCCCCCAAAAAACAGACCACATCCTTCAATTCATGCTGACACCCTTGTCTGACTGGCCGAACTGGTACTTGCCATCAACTCTTTTGAATTTAATGGAAATTTTTTAAAAACCAAATTACTGGTTTGGCAATGGTCACAGAAGTGGGCCCTAGTTATTGTGTGTGTGTATCCTGTCTTTTTATGGGTCGCTTTGAATACATGGTAGACAAGGCATATACAGGCTGTATACCAGAAGTTTACAAAAGATACAAAAAGTAAATTCCAACAATTATTTGATTTTCTAAACTCAATTCAACCATCTATTAAATTTACTTCACAAATCTCTGAGAGTTCTGTAAACTTTCTCAACATTACCTTATCGGATTATTCACATCTGACTATTATAAACCTACTAACAGCTAAAGTTACATATTTTATTCATCTACTCACCCCAATTCATGAAAAAACTCCACTAAGTTGCCTCTGCTAGTTAGGTGAAGACTTTTTAATAGGGCAAATGAAATGGACTTGTGCTCTAGATATTTTACTGAGACTATCCTTGTTTTGGCACTCAATCGTGTCCAATGTGATGAGGTTTTCATAACGTTTTTAAACAAAAATTAAGTTTGAACTAAACTCATTCTTACCTACCACCATCACAATGTACTTGCCAAAAACATATTTGAATATTCGTGTACTCCTTGCTGATCCTGATAATGACAGGGTATTCTTAACCCCTCCTTGCTGACCCTGATAATGACAGGGAATACTTAACCCCTCCTTGCGGATCCTGATAATGACAAGGTATTCTTAACACCTCCTTGTTGACCCAGTTAATGACAGGGTATACTTAACACCTCCTTGTTGACCCTGATAATGACAGGGTATACTTAATCCCTCCACTTATTGTCTTCAGAAAGGATAAAAATCTATTTGACCTTCTGGTTCACAATCATCTTCAAGCTGACTCTTCTCAGCTTGGGACTATACCATGTTAAAGAAGCTTTTGTTGGATTTGCCCCTCATTACTGGAAACTGAACACATTGGCTTCCGTAAAGGGACTTATACCACCACATTTATACCACCACAGAGGGCTTCACCTGTATCAGTCAAAATTTGATCTATGTGATTGTTTGCCACAGATGCCGCTCCTATTACCTAGGTGAGATGGGAAGAAGGCTATCTGATAGGTTCAGTGAACATCTTTGTGATATATTGAACAAAACAAGCTATAACAGGTCTCATCAGATGTATCCATCCCTGCTCTATTTTCTTGCACTAATACACCATCATTGGGTGCTGGGTGGCCGAGTGGTCTAAAACTGAGCAAATCTCAAGTTGGTGGTCTGGAGTTCAATTCCAGCTAGAGCAAAAACACCACCAGCACCCCGGGTAGATGGGACTCGTTAACCTTGGACGGCAACTCATCTAAGAGAAGGAAACTCTGAAATCAAACCCAGAGATGGAGTCCCGAAAGGCGGATAACATTGATACAATGAAACATTCCGACAACTCCTGCGACGACTCTGGTGCTAAGCTGTATCATCCAATGATGTTCCCTTGGGTTACCCAGCAGCGTGGAGAGAGGCGATTTGCTGTTGGGATACAGCTTATAATCCTTAAAGTATAATAATCCCAGGCTATGTGGATTTCGTCCTACGAGGCCCACTCCATCGTGACGGACGGATGCCAGCAATACACCATCAAGAGTAAATATGGTAATGAAAACAATTAATTCAGAATTTCAGCACAATGTCCCCGTATGGAATCAAATACTCTCATATTAGTGAACCTCAATTTCCTTACATTTCTATTCTCATTTTTTGTTGTTCAAAATATTTAACTTTACATTAATAATATTAAAATTATTTCACGTTGATAGTTTGCACAGCAGAATCATGTGGAACGCACTTTTTGGTTTTTAACAACTTTTCCTCCATCTCCAACCAAGTGTTTCAGTTTCCTAACAAATACTTTGAGAACTTCATTTTGATCAGAATCTTTGAACGCACAAGTTTTAAATTTCTATTTACTTGTTGTGTCATGTTTTGTCTTGTCTGCGAAGATGCTTTCAAACAAAACATTCTTGTAACATTCCTGCGTTTTCAAGTTTTGTTTCAAGCCCAAACATATCTTATTCTGCTATTCATTTATTAGTGAGACAACGTGCACACATAAAATAAAAATGACGGTGCAGCACCCAAGCACAAACTGCTCATCTCCATATTCAGTCCCATGGTTTTTTTCTGACTTAACCAGTCCATGCTAAATAAGCTCTTGTGTTTTCTTCTCAGCATGCTGGATGATGAGCTGCACACAGATCTCTTGCTGACGAATGGAACAGATGTAGTGCATGCCCATAAATGCATTCTTCAAATAAGGTACTTTACTTTTATCATTATATCTGTTTTTAACAATTAAAAAAATAACAAATATTTGCTTCTTTGGGTAAAGATTGTGTTTGTGGCTCATGGATTGGCTTCTGTCTAATCTATTCATAGGTCAAAATACTTTTGGCAAGATGAATGGGTCACCAAGAAAATCAGTGACGATGGCAAGGAACTCAATGTCATAGAAGTTCAAGGTCTTAATGGGCAGCAACTCGAGGATTTTGTCAGGTTGGTGTTTTGGTCAGTGTTTTCATCCCATCTGTGACATAACCTGTGTGACATAACCTCTGTGACATAACCTCTGTGACATAACCTCGGTGACATATCCCGTGTGACATAACCTCTGTGAATTAACCTCTGTGACATAACCCCTGTGACATAACCCCAGTGACATAACCTCAGTGACATAACCTCATTGACATAACCTCGGTGACATAACCTCATTGACATAACCTCAGTGACATAACCTGAGTGACATAACCTCTGTGACATAACCTCTGTGACTTAACCTCAGTGGAGTTAATAAATACAGTTATTCAAGTGAGAGGCTTGCACAGTTAAACCTCACCAGAACCACATTTTCCAAAACATTTTGTTGTTTGCCGAGCAGCGTACCCAAACATTTATCATGTTTTGTCTAGATTGTCAGTTGAATCGTTTCCTTTATTGATAGCTGAACGTTTTGTTTAGTGAATGTATCAGTTATACAACTTAACATTAAATTACCATCTGCTGATTTCACATGAGATAATGCTTGAAATGTAGAGGTAAACTGCAAGCATCTGCTAACTTCACATGAGATAATGCTTGAAATGTGGAGGTAAACTGCAAGCATCTGCTGATTTCACATGAGATAATGCTTGAAATGTGGAGGTAAACTGCAAGCATCTGGTGACTTCACATGAGATAATGCTTGAAATGTGGAGGTAAACTGTCTGCAAGCATCTGCTGATTTCACATGAGATATGAGATAATGCTTGAAATGTGGAGGTAAACTGTGGTGACTTCACATGAGATAATGCTTGAAATGTGTTCAAAGTATTATTTCATGTGGCATGACGTCAGCAGATGACAGAAGAAATATATTTCTCATGTCTTGCACACATTTCTCGTGTCTTGCACACATTTCTTGTGTCTTGCACACATTTCTCGTGTCTTGCACACATTTCTCGTGTCTTGCACACATTTCTTGTGTTTTGCACACATTTCTTGTGTTTTGCACACATGTCCTGTGTTTGGCACATATTCCTTGTGTTTGGCACATATTCCTTGTGTTTGGCACATATTCCTTGTGTTTGGCACATATTCCTTGTGTTTGGCACATATTCCTTGTGTTTGGCACATATTCCTTGTGTTTGGCACTTATTCCTTGTGTTTGGCACATATTCCTTGTGTTTGGCACATATTCCTTGTGTTTGGCACATATTCCTTGTGTTTGGCACAGCCCACATCATTGATATAAAGCAAACAACAATCAGGCATTTCATCAATATTAAAAGTATTTGTAAGGAATTAAGCAAAGTTTGTTGATGCTGCTGTTTCTCATCCTTCTGATTCAAGATCTCCGTATCAAAAAAACAAATCTATAGGTAGTAATTTCATAGTTTTGTAAATCTTAAAATTTGTTTTACGCGCATCGTATATTAACAACATGTATATGGTGTAGAAGGTGAGCTTGTAGTTAATGCTCTTTAGACATGGACGCACATAGCTACTGTTGGACCACAAATAACAAAACATAATTTAATGTTTATCTTTTTTAAAAATAATTTATGATCTTGCAGTTTGTTAGATTAAAATTATATTATTAAACCAAAGGGATCTGCTTTTTTTTAGGGACAACTTACTGAACATTTCAGATGAATTATGGAACATTTCAGATGAATTATGGAACATTTCAGATGAAATAATTCTTGAGACTAGGCACATTTAAGTTCTGTACAATATCTGTAGCAGGCTTTTTCAATTTTATGCTTTATTACCATCTAAGCCTCTTTTTTTTTTTTTTTACTTTCAGTTTATTAAAATTTTATCTTTGACAGCCTTCCAGTTATAATGACAATTTTCTCATCTCATGTCACAGCCATCAATTTTTTTTTTTTTTTGTTTTATTACCTTTTAAGCTTTTTTTTTTTTTTTTTTTACTGTCAGTTTATTAAAATTTTATCTGTGACAGCCATCCAGTTATAATGACAATTTTCTCATCTCATGTCACAGCCATCAATTGATAATTACAGTTATCTCAACCTCTGTCACAGCCATCCAATTATTAATGACAATTTTCTCATCTTCCATCTCAGCCATCCAATGATTGTGACAATTTTTTACATCTTCTGTCACAACCATTCAATGGTTATTATGACAATTTTCTCATCACTCTTCAAAGCCATCAAATGATTATGACAATTTTTTACATCTTCTGTCACAACCATTCAATGATTATTATGACAATTTTCTCATAACTTTTCACAGCCATCCAATGATTATGACAATTTTCACATTTTCTGTCACTGCCATGCAAAGATTATGATAATTTTCTCATCACCTGTCACAACCATCCAATGATTATGATAATTTTCTCATCTCCTGTCACAGGCAGCTCTACACAGTTGGCGACTCTTTGTGGCTTTTTGAGGAGTATCACCATTTTTTCCCAGGCAGTTTGAAGTTATCTCAGAACAGTGAAGAAAGCTGTAAGGCCCTGGATGGTCAAGGGACATCCTCTGATCCCTCAGGTCAAGGAGAAAACCGTGCGGGGGGTTCCTCTGATCAAATAAATTCTTTAAACCAAATAAAAGAGGAGCTGGTAGCAGGTCAGGAGAACAAAGTAAGTGAGGAAATTGGTGGGCCCCAACCTGGCACGTTGGAACCAACTGTGTGCTTGGCAGCTAATACAAGAACATCTGGCAGCTGTGAGGAGACTCTTCTTGTTGAACATAGTGGTGGGGTAGATTCTGAATCTGGTCACAGTGTTAGTGCAGCTCTTGCTGATGAGTGTTTGGATGAAAGGAAGACGGATTTAACAGACAAGTTATTGGATGTGGAAGAAACTTTACAAGACCAGCCTAAAGAATTTGGTGGTGGTGATGATGTTTGGGTTTGTGAACAGGATGTCCAACAAAGTGAGATAAATAGTCAGGGTCCAGAATCAGAGGCAGAAGTGTTGGATGTGACTGGGGGAACACTGAAACCAGAGAATGACAGCGTAGATGAACTGGCAAGCAGTTTTGGCCAAGCTGATGTCTCCACCAATCATGATGAGTGTAACTTGCACATGGAAAGCTGTGGTAACGCCAATTTCAACAAAAACAGCATAAATTCTGCCATGGCTGTCTCAGATTCTGAACTGTCTGTTATAGATTCTGAGATGTCTGTTACAGATTCTGTAATGTCTGTCATAGGTCCTGCTATTGCTGAAACAGGTTCTACCTTGCCTGTCACAGATTCTGTGATGTCTGTTGCAAGTTCTGCCATGGTTGTCAAAGATTCTGACATGGCTGTCACAAGTTCTGAAACAGTTGTCAATGACGCAGCTGACACAACAACTAACACCAACTCTGATTTCAGTGAGGCTATAAAGTCTTCATATTCATTCTCAGTTCCCTATGAAACCTGCAGCCCCCTGGGCCATGATCTCTTGCAGATGTATCTACAAGAATTGGACTGCGACTGCTGCCTAGCTGTGGATGGGGTACAGTTTCACGTCCACAAGTGTGTCATGTCCGCTCGCAGCGAGTACTTCCAAGCCATGCTGGGAGGTCAGTGGTGTGAGAGTCACATGGAGGTCATTAATCTGGAGGGTGTGACGCCCCAGGCTGTTGAACAGCTGTTGCTGTTCCTGTATGGTGGCGTCATAGAACTGACCACGCCCTGTGACCTCATGGACTTGTTTATTGTAGCTGACATGTACAGCATTTTGACCTTAAAGAACGTCCTGTCATTTTATGTGAGAAGAGATCTGTGTCACTTTTTCCACAAGCCTTGCTTGCAGTGCGTCAACACGGCAGGTGAAGCGTTAAATCTCTGCCATAATTTTGACCTTGGAGACGAACAGGGGAGGATACTGAAATGGGTGGCAAAGTACTTCACCAAAATCTGGCCGACTAAAACCTTTGCGTCTTTGCCGGATGGTGTCCATCACATGAGTGTGGAAGGCATCAAGTCACAGATGACAGCCAAAAACGTCCTAGACATTATCATGGAATGTAACAAACTGACCACGAGCCTCCCTCGGATTAAGTGGACAGAGAGTATCCTCGGCCTGCTCACACAACTCATGGATATGTGCATTGAGTTCACGTCTGTTAACTTCACCAAAGTCATCTCAACCCAGGAGTTCCACCAGTGGGCCAAAGTGGCTTCATGGAAGGCAGGGGCATTGGAGGAAATTTTCAATTCTGTCATTGATTCCTTGCCCATAGAGACAGCATGCCGCGTGTTCCATACCCTCATCCATCTGGAGGCCTTTCTGTCCAACCTTGATAGCTCAGACCTTGATGTGGTTGGTCTCCTTCAAGCAATGATCAAGCGCTGTGAGAAATTCTTCAAAGCTCACATTCACCAGGTCATGAGGTCCAAAGAATGGTTCCTTCTGCCAAAGTCGATCCAGTCCAGAATCATGGAGAACTCAGCCTATTTATATCTTGGAGACTTTGCCGGGCCTCAAATTAAACCCCCTGCCAAAGTCTCCCTAAGGCTGAAACAGACAACATCCTTAGACAAACCTATGAAATCAGGAATGCCCCAGTTAACTGGTAATTTAAGAAAAGGGAATCAACCGATTAAACAACTTAGTCTGGCAAGAAGTAATTCCACTAAAAATCTTCCAACCAAAGAAGGTGGTGTCACTAAGCCAAGAAGCAAGGAAAGACCAAAAAGTTTCATCCATGTTAATGGATCAGATCAAACTGCAGCAGGCTGTTCAAAAGCAACAGCATCATCATCATGCATGCTTTCCCATCAACCACCTAAACAACGAAAAACAAGCTTCACGTCCAAATTATCAGAACAAGTTAGGACGAGCTTCAGTCAATCAAGGTCAGAGTCCCTGCCAAAAGACTCGCTGGAAAAATTGAAAACCAATGAAAAATCGTCAGGGTCAAGTGCTGCTCCAGAAAAGAATGAATTGAAGAACACCGTGCAACCAGACCACCAAAAAAACTCTCGAATCCGGGTCAGTTATCAAAAGTCATTGTCCGTGCCATCATCAAAGTCTGAGTCACTTCCAAGCCAAATAGAAAGTAATTTGGCTTGTAGCCAAAGTCAGAAATCTGAACTTGGTACAAACAGCAGGATGAGTTTGTCTTCATCTCCCAGATCTCCCAGGCAGTCAATGTCTAAGATACCAATGTCTGTACGGTCTCCAAAGCTTGGTAACAGGTCCAGACCTGGGTCACAAATTGTGGATAGTGAAGAAGCACATGAAAGCAGTTCAAGGATTGGTCTATCTCTTGAAGGTGCTGGGAGGGTAAATCTTGAAGCTGAAAGACACCCAAGTTTAAACTGTTCTGTTACCATTAAGACTACAGTGGACCTTGAAGCTGAAAATTTGGGCAAGTCTGCTGACAGTAAACCTGTATTTGACAGTTCTGTGGACAATAAGTTTGTAGTGGACCATGATAATTTGGGAAAAACTTTTGACAGTGATCCATTAATTTACAGTTCTGTTCAAGGCAAGTCATTGGATCTTGGTGGTGAAGTGGATTCGAGATCTGATAGCACCGGTGACATTAACGGGTCCATCTCAACTCGGCCATTTGAGATCTTCATGTCTCCATTGTCTTATCATGGTAGCAGCCACACCTCGGAAATTGGTTTTTCAGACACAGGGCCGACAGACAGCATGTCTCAGATGAGTTCTCTGCTGGACATTGGCGATGATATGTCTGCCTCCTGGGGTGGAGACCACCCCGCACAATCTGACCATTTCCCAGAGTCAAACAATACTGCTGAGCATTCTATAAAAAGCAATTTCACAGAGTCATCTCAAAGTATGGAAGGGTGTCATGCCTCGGGCGAGCTGGATCACGGCAGGAGCCCTCTTGGTGAAGTTGAGATTGCTTCTGCTGCCGGCGTGGTTTGTGATGTTAAAATTATCAGGATGAGCAAACCCTTAATTGTTGGTTTCTTTGTTCCACCAGAGTAGTCAGTATAGTTTTCCTTGGAAGGTGTAGCATTTTAAGCTTGCAATGGCCATTAATGTTGGCTTTTTAAAAAAAACAATTTTGAAGACATATCATTTTTGTAAAGATGCAATGCGGCAGGTTGAGGTGCTTCCAATGTTATGTGTTTCTGGGTGGGCCAACGCCCTTCCCTGGATGACAAGGCCGATAGTTTATGATTTTAAAAAGTGCAATTTTACGTTCGGGTGACACCTTCGGTTTTTCAAGATTTAATATGCAACCAGTGAGCAGAATTTTTCTTCAGTAAAAATGTTGAATTTCTTTTAAAGGGAACAAAAATCTCACTAGTGTTTCACCTTTATTTTTAAACAAATGTTTATTATTAGTTTTAGAAATCAGAAAGAGAGAACTGAGAAATATTTGCCATTTGTTTCAAAAAGCTTTTTGTCATTTCAGTGTAACTGGTGCTCTCTAACTTCATACTTTCAGTTGTAAGCATTTCTCTCTTTTTTGTAGATACCGGGTACCAGAATGTCTACAGATACTTGAGATAGTCACTAAAGAGTACATCCGTCAACATCCAGAAAAATTAAATGTAACATAAATGTTCTATTTTAGATGATGTGCAATTCTGGATGATGTGCAATTCTTGATGTTGTGCAATTCCAGATATTCTGGATGATGTGCAATTCTGGATGATGTGTATTCTGGATGATGTGCAATTCTGGATGATGTGCTTGAAACATCATTTTTACTGATAGCCGACTTCCTTACACCACTCTGATATATATGCCTGGACTTGAAATGTATTTCTAGTTGTTTGTATCTGATGTTGCAGGTGTCAAAAATATTCAAAGTCTCTACTTATAATTACAAAACTGATGTTTACAATTTGACGCCTACTCCATAAGTAAGCTAGAGTTGCCCTTTGTACTCAGTATATAATTTAATACAATAATTGTAATTTTTATTCTATTTAGTATTTATAAACTGCTTATGAGGCAATGGCTAGTCATTGTGCTTGTATAATGGGATGTAGCTGTTGTCAAACCTATGAGCTACCAGTACCTGTCATTCATAATGATGAGAGTACTTAACATAATTTTTTTTAAATGGCTTTCATTGTTTAAACATAGCTTGTTACTATATTGCCCAATACATTGTTGTTCATAGTGTGCTGTTAAATCATGGACTAAGAACCTTTAACAGTTTTTTTAACAACTGGTTCTATTTAATGTTCCCCTGTACCTGTTACCCATTGCACAGTTATCCCACAAGTAGTGTGCACATATTATTTGAAGATTTATGATAAATCCCTTCTGTAATTGCTCATTAAGTTCAGTTGAATGTGTGATAATATACTGACATATATAAATATCAATCCCTGGATGTACTTTGTGAAAAATTGTTCATTATTGGTTGCAGGCCAATATTTGATATTAATAATGATATCTAGCATGCTATTTTTTTGTTTTGTGAAATCATTAACTGTTTGTCTAAATCTGTAAACTCTTCATTCTTGTGGCTAAAAACCCTGACATGAGCAAATTAATTAATGGATCATAAGCAAAAATGAAAACGTTCTTTCGAAATTTATGTAATATTTTAAAAAATATAATTTTATGGCACCGGCATAATATTTTAGTTTCTTAAGGCTCTGCTGAAATGTCAAAGGAAGTAATTTTTTTTAATAGCATTTAAGAGGATGTTTATAATTTTTTGTTTTTTAAATTGATCTCCATCTTGAACTGACAGTTATATATTACCCAAAGAGTTATGCCATTTTTTTAAATTTCATAAATACAATCCTACAAATTCTATGTGATTTTTTTTGTTCTAAAATCTGTGATAGATGACTGTTTACTGTGAATTTTTTTGCGCCTATTTTACAGGCCAACTGTGAATGTTGCTAGCAATAAAAAAAAAAATTTAAGTAAAAAAATGGGTTGAATTTTTTTCTCATTATCATTAATTCTTCTTAAACCTGGTAATAAACATCTTCATGGAACTTAAAACACAAAACAGAGGACAATGTTTCAACAGAATGACACACAAGAGGACACAGTAGTTGACAAAAATATTTTTTCTTTGTCTCACAAATTTTACCATAATTTTTTTTTTTAAAACAATATTTTTAAAATTTCCTTTAATTTCATTCTGAACAATTAATAGAAAAATAAAATTTAGATTGAACATTATCTTCTTAAAATTTTGTTTATCTTCTTAAAATTTTGTATGTTAGGAGGACTAAGAAAATGTGGCATCTTCATAGGGTTCACTTAGGAAGTGAGGTCTGATCAAAGTACTGTCCAAGCTAATGTTAATACGAGTAAGAAAATGTGGCATCATCATAGGATAAACTTAGGCAGTCAGGTCTGATCAAAGTACTGTCCAAGCTAATGTTAGTACGACTAAAAAAATGTGGCATCAGCATAGGGTCCACTTGGGAAGTCAGGTCTGGTCAAAGTACTGTCCAAGCTTTAACTTTAAGATATGAGGCTGTGAAATTTAGGGCCAAAAATTTGTTCACCTGTTCATCACTTAACCTTAACTGTGAACTAGCACCAAATCCAGCAAACTTACATTGTAACAAAGTTATACAAATATAAAAAATTGTCAAGCTTGTTTCTTTCACTGTGTTTGGTACATTTTCACAAAGTTTACTCAGAAAATATTTCTATTTTAATTTTTGTTTATACTTTTAAAGAAGACTTATATAAACATTTTTTTTTTTAAATTAAAAAGACTTATTACAAACTGTTCATGTTTAGTGATAAAGAACAAATAAAAACATGGACCAAGTTTTTATGGATCAATCAGTTCCTGCAATCGTGATGCTGTCTGTTATTGAAATAGATCTTTGACTTTCCTTGACCAGTTTGTGACTCTATTCCTTTCAATGTCACATTGGGGTACCACGCAAGTCTGACTCCACAACTTTAATTGTGATAAAGATTAAGTGTGAAGGACTTGTTTAAAGCACTCGGTTCTTGAATAATTAAGATACTGGGTATTTAAATACAAGAATTTAATGAATTTTTAGAATAGCTATATAAAAAAAAAATTACAACTTAAACAGTATTCATTTGCAAAAAATAAGGCAAATTTGTTCGTTGAATAAAATTTTACAAAAAGAGAACCATTCAATTTACATGATTTCAAGTCACAAAATGATCTAAAACTTTCCCTGTAAATATAAAAATCACAATGCAGCTTCACTTATAATGCATTTGAATATAAACAAGTTTGGAACCCAGTGTAATGTCAAAAAAAAAAAAAATTAATACCCAGAATATCAAATTATAATTGCAATAAAAAAACTACCAATTGTTAGCGATTTAACACCTTGCCACAAGCATATATATATATTTAGGAAACTACAATATTTGTTTGAAAGCCATGATCTTTCTAATTAAAATGTGGATTAAGAAAAATAAAGCAAATAAAACTGAATTTTCTTTATATGATACATTTGTCAGGACAATGCTATCAAAACATTGGTTTAGTTTTATCACAATATGTGATCCCTTTTTAATGATTATATAAATTCTCAAAGGTCTTAGAATAGTCCTAATAGTGGGTTTACCATCCTGACACGTGTTAACCAGGATGGATTCTTAACTTAAATGTAATCAAAAATGAAATTTCTAAGAATTAAATTCACAAGAATCCAAATACTGTGCAAAGCAAATAATAAAAATATTTCCCAGATGTTACGTCTAGTTTAATATTACTTTTAAAATTCATAAAGTAGTAACATGTTTTGTTAAAATTTCCAATAAATTATTTTTTTTAAAATGAACTTTTGTTTATTTACTGAGTTTGAAATTAATTGAGCATGGTTTAGTAGCTTTATGTGTACAATAAAACTCTTTACAAGCTGTCAAGTATGTTGGGAAGATCTAATGGAACTGCAAATAGATGTTGAAACAGCAGCAAAAAAAACAAACCAACAAAACCTTAAATAAAAATTAAGATTTAATTTTTCATTCAAAAAAAGATGCTGAAGCATGAATTTAACTTTAAATGTATAAACAGAAGCATCCAGCTATTTTTGGAACTCAACGCTAAACTAATATTGTACAAAAATTTTTAATGAATAATCAAACAATAACATTTGAGTGTAAATATAATTTTATGGGATAAATTTTTGCATATTAAATACATTTTTTCTTTCATTTTTGATGCTGCAAATGTTAGTTAAAATTGGAGGATACAATTAAAGTTTATTTTATTTGACTAAATCATAAATGAAAAAAATATTTGAATCCGCATAAATATATGATAGAATTGGAAGTTTCATATGATATAAACATAAAATCCAATGAATAAGATGCATTATGCAACAGATTTTTATCACTTTTTAAATCTATTTACAAATCACTTGCTTGTCAAAAGAAAAAATATATTTCTCTCAGATTAAAATGAGAAGGGGACATCAAGAAAATAATTATTTTCTTGAGAAGTTTTCTAGACCTAGTTTTATAACTAAATGTAGTAAGAGTATTGGGGGTAGGGGGTGGTCTTCATTCTGTAATTTTTTCAATCACTGGTAAACACAAACATCTATAGATTTGTTTTTTTGTTCTATAAATTTATGAGATGTTAATTTTTTTTAAATTAAAAACACTATGATTAAGATTAAATAAAACAACTGATAAAGGTGATTGAAAGAATTGTGCCCAGTGCAAGTATAAATACAAAACAATTTTTTTAATTATCACAAGATCATTGCAGACAATGAAAGATTTCAGTAATGTATGTACATCGGGGGGGGGGGGGGGAACTTTAAAAAAATAAAAAAAAAAAAAAAGGAAAAATTTTTTTTAAAAAAAAATAAAATAAAAAAAAAAAAAAAAAAAAAAAAAAAAAATGCCCCAAAAAAAATGGGGGGGGGGGGGGGGGGGGGGGAAGCTTTAAAAAATTAAAATAACATAAATAGGAAAATTATTTGTTACAGAAAATAGAGTAAAATAAGCAACAACAAAACAAAAAAATGATGGCCCCGAAAAAATGATCACTACTATGAACATCCTTCTCCAAGTCTGGTATATGAAATCATGAATAGGCTCTTTTTCTGTTGACATCCAGGCCATGGTTCTTTTAAAAGAGTAGACAAATGTCTGAATGGCCATTCTGTAGCAGCACCGTACACCCTCCTTACAGGGTTGTACTGTGGTACATACATCTTCTAACAGCACAAGCATCATGCGCCATCTCTTTAAACCTTTTCATATCCCAAATACTTTTCTTGGACCACCTGTATATCTGGATCCACGCATTTTCCATGGTCCGCAATGCGTTTCTTCCACCCTACACAATCTCAGGACCACATCTATCAAAAAACATTTCACAACATCCTTCATAATTACCGACATCTCACCACTTACGAAAACAACATCACATTGGTAAAATTAATAAGGATGACATACATCCAATTTTATTTGTAAAAAAAATGTTTAATTAGGAAATTTCAATCTTATAGGCCTCCAGCCTTGTTCATCATGTTTCTGATCTTTATTTTAAACATTTATATTAGATATTTCATAAGTGGTTACATATGAGTTAATAGCTTTAAAAAACATTACAATTTCAACTAATTATTTTTAACATTATTTATAACATGTTAAAACGTATCAATAATTGGCCTATGCTTTTCACTTAATTAAGCTGATAAAAATTACACAAAATTAAACAACCTTTGATTTATAATAGGCTGATTTTGCTAAACTTAACATTTTGTAATGAAAAAAATTGCTTTATTTGTGCCATCAGTTACTTTAAAAAAAGTTCATCCACAAAACTTAAAACAAAACTTTCCATAAGGATGAAAAGTACCTGACAGGATTCAATGTTTACAAGGTACTGAAAACTGTGGGGCTGTCCTGTAACGAAATTTGGGTTTTTATGTTCCCCATCTCATTCAAAACTCTTATTTTCTTAAAATTGATTTTAAAAATTCCAGGTTGAAGTCATTTGGTTATTTAACAAACTTTTGTTTCAAATTTAAAGGTTTGATTATTTGATAGTTTTTCATTTATATTATGGTATTTCAATTGACTTGAATGAAGTATTGTAAATATTCTACTTTGTATAAATATTAATGAACATGCAGAAGCAGAAGCAAAAAAAAATTGTGCGAGTGAAAAGAAAGAGAGCAATAATCATTAAAAAATCAGTTGTGCATGAAATTAAAATATAAAACAAAAATATTTGAAGAGTAGCATTGACAATAAAGTTTGAGATCATATTCAATTCAACAGTTCTTTATTTAAAATAAAACAAATTTCTTGCCAGAATAAAAGAACTGTGTATGTACAAACTGGCTCTAACTTAAAACAAAAACCTTTATAAACATTCTCTTGCTGAAGAACAACGTACTAAGCTTACAAGAACAATGCACTATGCTTATTAAGATCGATTTATCTGAGATTGCAAAGATTTCATGTTCGCAATCTTCACTCTTAAAGCATCCTTTAGGGCAATTAATCGGTTAATCTCAGCTTGCCGTATATTTTTTCTGTTCTGGAGATCGGCAACAGTGGTACGTAAAGTATCAATGTTTAAGTTAGACTGAGCTTTGAGAACATTTCTGAGTAACAATTCTGCTGCTAAGGAATCAATTTTATTGAGGCTGCGCAGTTGTCCTAGCATTTCGTTTGCACGCTGCGTCACATTAGCAACTTGTATAAGGGTGGTGGAGACCTTTTCCTCTGTATTAGATAGCTGATATTGAAAGCCAGAAAAGGAGTCACTGGCTAGACAGAGAAGACTGCCAGGATCAATGATGGCGGTCCTGGTGTTATTCAGTGTTGTGTAACGCTCTCCACTCAAATCTCTCACATTTCCCAGACGAGATCTCAAAGTCATTGCTGCATTTGATATGGTTTGCATTGTCTGCAATTAAGAATGGAATCTATATTAAAAGTAGCTAAGTTTGGGTGTATTGGGTATATTACAAAATGTAATTGTTAGTGGGTGGCATAAGAACAGACATTAAGACTCTTTGTGTCCATGGCCATATATATTTAATGTATTAAAACCTTATTTGCAGTTTAAACTATGTGGTATAAATTTTAAAATATAGTAACTACTCTTTCCAGCCCATGTTTTAGTTATTAGTCCCTTTAGAATGGGAAAGGTTCTATTTCCTAAATACCTGTGTGTAATTCAAATATTAAATATGTGTTAGCTTTAGAAACTCATAATATGCTTTTACCCAACTCAGTCCAGGCATGACCAGCTGAGCAGGCCACTGGAGAAAAATTTGAACATTTTGCATGTGACTAGAGCCTTTATTTTGAACTTAAGTTTCATCCACCATATTATTAAATACTAAACAAGGATTTTTTTGTCAAACATTTAAGCTTATTCCTCACTAAGGCAGAGCTGGGCACTGACTGACCCGGGTACCAGGAGAGACTGAGAATGATCACACCCAACACATACCTGGACCTGGGTACTGACTGACCCGGGTACCAGGAGAGACTGAGAATGATCACGCCCAACACATACCTGGACCTGGGTACTGACTGACCCGGGTACCAGGAGAGACTGAGAATGATCACACCCAACACATACCTGGACCTGGGTACTGACTGACCCGGGTACCAGGAGAGACTGAGAATGATCACACCCAACACATACCCGGACCTGGGTACTGACTGACTCGGGTACCAAGAGAGGCTGAGAATGATCACACCCAACGCATACCCGGACCTGGGTACTGACTGACTCGGGTACCAAGAGAGGCTGAGAATGATCACACCCAACACATACCCGGACCTGGGTACTGACTGATCCAGCACACACCCGGACCTGGGTACTGACTGACCCAGCACATACCCGGACCTGGGTACTGACTGACCAGCACATACCCAGACCTGGGTACTGACTGACCCAGGTACCAGGAAATGCCGAAAATGATCACACGCAGCACATACTCAGACCTGGCCAAAAAAGAAATGGAACTGGGTCCAGGTGTTTGAAAAAAATAGATTTATTTTCTATAATTTGTTCGGGCCAGTGGGTAGAAATAAAAAGTAGTGCATGTCACAGAATTCAATAATAGTAATGTAATTTAACACTCATTTTAAAAAAAAGAAGAAATTGGCTTAACTGAAGGAAGGCTAGGATGTTTTCTTCATTTTAAAATGTACAGTGGTTGGCCTTTTTTTAAATCCTTTACATTATGGTTTTTGATTGTGTGTTTCTTTCTGGGTGTGTGGCCACATCTTCAGCGGGCTAATTAATTGACCCACTTCCTGTCAATCTATCGAGTTGAAACTTCGACATAGACTTGTTGACAACACATTTTTTCAACTTTTCAGCCCCATCCCCACAACCCCCAAAAATCAAGGGGCAGATGAAGGAAACATGATGCCACGGATTTCACGATATAAATTTCTTGTAACTGCGCTAAATGAGATTCTTAAAAATATCACAAGTGCATTTGGAGTGTAATATTTTCTCTTGTGTTTCTAAAATATTTGGTGCAATAAATCTGGGGTCTAAAAGCAGATGGGATATTAGAATTAGTAAGATAGTTCAGGGGCGTGATGCACTAATTGGGATTCTTATAAAGTGCGTCACTTGTATGCATGTTTTGTCAAATTTTCAGCTCCACCCCCATTGCTCGATGTTACATTTTATAAGGATTTCTACGAAAACTTTGTTTTTAGGGGTTGTTGAATTTATCGTACTGACACTTTGACTACACTACAGCTACATAAAATAAAATTTAAAAAACTATTATTCATTCAGTAGATGTCAGCAGTTTATTCAATATAAATATTTTGGCATTTTCTTTTCACTAAAAAAAAAAAATTGCATTGCATATATATGATTTCATTTATTTTCATTGTTTCTTTTATTTCTTAATTTAAAAATAAAAAAAAAACATAAGAAGATTGACTCCCAGAGCCCCCTCTACAGAGCCCTCCAAACTTCTTAGCTGTTATTTCTGCTTCTCTCCACCCCTGATAAAAATTGCAGTACCAATATCTTTTTTATTTACTAAAAGGCCTTTCCCCTCTCCCATTCTCAACACCTGTTCCTCAATTTTAAGATAGAATCCTGGATGTGGGTTGCCAATACTTGGCAAATGTTATAAAGGGGTGACAGCAATAAAAAGGTGAAAAGCTGCTGGTTTCGGATTATATTATTAAGCTATTATTGTTTTGAAGCCTTCAACTTTAATGCCTTCATGATTGCTACGGGTAGTGCAAATGCATTTTTAACTTCTCCCCATAGAAAGTGAGAAGATAACCCTTTTTTTGTGTGTAACACCCAGTCCTACTAGGTATTGTTATCAAAATACTGCACCCCAGCGCAACCCTATTCCTTACCTTTTGTTTTTGTGTGATGATGTTAAGAGCTAGGTCAGCCGTTTCTTTGGCAGCTGATGCAGTCTGTTGTAACAATGTCAGTGTTTCAGTCAGGTTCCCAGATTGCTTTATCAACTGCTGGCTGAGGTTAAGGGCTGGTGCCAGCTGTTGTTGCAGTGTAAGAAGCTGCTGCTTTACATCTAGAATAGCCAAATTGTTTTAGTTTCCGTTACATACGAAATAAATTATTATGCATAGCTTAAGGCATTGATGAAAATCCAAGCAAAAGAAATATGTATTTTTTAATTTGATTGGTCATTATTGCAATGAAATAAGCTGTTTTGATTGAAATAAACCCCCCAAAGACTAAAAAAAGTGTTTTTTTTAAAAATGATATAATTAAAGTTATATCTAATGAAAGGTTTTACTCTTAAAAGCTTATACAATTAAATTTAAGTGATATATGGTATGATATCAGTCTACTGGTGTAATGATTCTGAACTAATTCTATTTTTAAAATGATCCGTTTCAGTGAAATAAACATTGATATAATTCACAAAACAAACATTCATATAAATCCCAAAACAAATGATATAAATCACAAAACAAAAAATGATATAAATAACAAAACAAACATTAATATAAATCACCAAACAAACATTCAAATCAATCACAAAACAATCATTGATATAAATCACAAAACAAACATGGGAAACTCTATGCATTTTTAATTAGTTTGATATAGAAATGGCACTCTCCCCCACATTTAATGTTAAACCTAATTTTGAAACTTACTTTGTGATCTTGCTTCAAAGTTATTGAGTATCTCAAGTGTATTGTTTGCATCTTGCAACAAGCTGATGCCCTGATTCTGGATGACTGCAGCTCTCTGCTGCGCAGTGTTAGATCTGCTCCTCCAATCAGCAGACAGGGTTCCCATTGTTCTTGTCTGATTGGTTAAATTTTCAACAACTGGCACAGTGGCAAGGGCATTGACATTAGATCCATTAAATGTGCTAGATTCAAATGTCACCTGTTCAAGGATGTAAGCAAAATAAAATACATTTTTGATTTAATTTAAAAGATGGTTATCTTATTGTTCTTATTATTACTTGTTGTCTGTGAACCATTTTAATATCATTTAGATAGTATAAAGATGGCACCCATTGGTAAAGAATGTCTGACCAGTGAACCACCTTAGTATCATTTAAATATTATAAAGATAGCACCCAGGGGTCAAGAGAGACTAACAACTGAATTTTACTTCTTCTGAAGGCAGCTGCCCCCCCACCCCCATTTTACACCCTTCTAACCCCCCCCCCCCCCATATTAAAAATATTCCACTATGTTAATAGGCTTCTGTCAAAAAATAAATCAATTTATAACAAGTGGATATCTATGACATAAAACTGATATCTATGACATAAAACTGATATCTATGACATAAAACTGACACCCAAAGGTGGTACTGCCTTACCATCTTAATTAACAAAGCTATTTTAAATTTTTAATAAAAAGTCAAGATTTTCAGTTAGGAATTAGGAGTGTGAGAAAACTGTAAACAATAAATGAAATAACTTTAGGTTCAATACCAATGTTTGACACAACTTGCATTCAAAATTGGTAAATTTTATACAACTTTAATTGACAAGTCTCAATTTTTCAAACTCTAAAATGTGCAAACTTTAAAGATAAATAGCTGAAATGCAGTCTTTACTATGTAAATAGATTGTATTTTGAAAACAAAAGTAAAAAAAAAACAAAAAGCACCCATCAGTATTAAACACCAAAAGAAAATATTTTTTATGCTACTTCAACATGATGAATGTAATTAATATGCCGATATCATTAACTTGTACAAACAGCAAAAAGATATTTAATATTTTCCTACAGTATTTGATCTTTCCATCTGAGCATTCAATTTTTTTAGTGACCTCAAGGAAAACATGAACAAAAAACATGCTATTACTATTTATTCCACCCTTAAAGTAAAGTAAAAAAAACAACAAAAAAACAAAAACATGACAACTCACAAGTTGCTGAGTGGAGCTAGCAGCAAGCCTGGCTTGACTTGTCCTGCTAGCGATACTTGTGTAGTCAATCTTAAAGCCTGCAAGCTGGGCAAGCTTGCCATTCTCATTATTCACTGTGCTCCTCATGTCTGTGCTGCTGGTGGCAAGGTTTTGGGCTGTGGTCAGTGTTCTTGCAGCCAATGAGATGAGATTGACAATCCTGGTCTCCATGGCAAGAAGTGTGGATGTATTGTTTTGGTTGAGATTGCGAACAGATGTAGATTTCTGAAAGTTTAACAACCATTGAATGATGAGGAAGGAAAATACACAACAAAGGACAAGAATAACTATAACGATAATAAAATTAAATTGCAGGGTGGGTAATGCACACAGACGAAAATATAAAAGAAGATCTAAAATGTATATGAGTAGGCCCTACTAATAAATAATGTAGAAATTTGGTTATAACATTCTCAAGGTAAAACATAAATACAATTATAGTATGCAACAAATATTTAAATGTTACACTACAATATGAGCTTCTGTCAACAGATGTTCTTATTCCTTCCCAACATCACACACAATAAAAGTCTAACAAATATTTTTTGCAAAACTTGTGTGAAAAGTGGTCAAACCATTCTCAAACCTTTTGTATCTCAAACATCTAAAGTTTGTCAACAGCTGAAAACTCCTTAGTTTCCTATAAATAAAGATACATTTTGATTCCGTTGATAAGAAACGTATTCATTTCTTGCAAGAGCTACTTTCAGAATCTCACCTCTTGTGCTGCACTGACCAACTGATTAGCTTGTGATATTGTGGAGTTTAGTGTATTCAGGTCATTGATAATCTTCTGATCAGTGGATGAGGAATTGGCAACATTTATCAGGTAAACTTCAACTGCCTTAAGGCTACTTTCAAAACTCTTCAACATGGACAGATTAGACTGTAGCATAGCTAAGAGGAAAAAAAAGAAAATCCATTTTAAATTTAGAGGTCAGTGAAAATTCATTATGTTACACTTCCATGACTAAATAAATCTCCTCACATTCAAGTTTAAATCATTGTACATGTCGTTGCCTATTAGCAATCCTTAAGTATAAAATGAATTTATTAATAAAGCCACAGACTTTTAAATTATTTATAATGAAACAAAACCACATGTAAAAAAATTAAATAAATAACATCCACATTTAAATAAGCCAATCTAATAGGAGCAAAGTTGGCGTGCTTAAAATTTAACCTTTTTTTGGGGGGCTTTAAATTTAGCTGTTTCCTCACCTAGTTTACTGTATGATGACAATGTTTTATTTTGTACTTCATTTTTTAACTGTTGAGCAGTCTGCAGCACTCCTTCCGAGTCAGACAAAACCATCTCAATCTCAACAGATGTATTTGTCCGTACTGTTGCCATGCGGTCCTCTACTGAAGTCAATGTTTGGTTAAATGTTTTTAGCTGAGACCTGGTAACTGACTCTGACTGCTCCACAGATAATAACTGGATGAAAAAATAATGTGGGGATTATTAATAAAGCAACTTATATGTCTAAAGTCTAGAATAATGAAAATGTACAGACTTAGCATAAAGGTATTTCTCTTTTAACATTAAAAAATGTGTTTAATTTCATTTACTACAAAAGTAAAAGTATAAGACCGACATGTTAAAACTTGACAAAAATAACACTCTGCACAATTTTTTTCCAATAATTTTCCTTGAAATTTAAAAAAAAAACCTGTTACAGAGTACCAGGGTATAACAATAACCTACAAATTCGACCAGCTTGTTGAGGTTTTCTTGGGCTGCCTTGAAGCGAGACATGAATGGTCCAAGGACGCTGTTCATATCCTTGCTCTCTAGAGCCGAGATGTTGGTGTTGATGTCTGTCTCCAGTTGACGAAGGGGCACAATGGCAGTCTCGAGGAGAGAGTAACAGGAGTCACATTCTGAGGATGACAACATGGGGAAATATTTAATATGGAAAAAATGGTGTAAGAAACAAGATAATTAAAGTGAAAAAATGATGTGCAAAAGTCAAAGTCAGATCCTTACTTTTTGCAATTATGGTTAAAATAATACATGTTTCTGAGATATTTGACTTAATGAGAAGTTGCCCCGTATTTTTCTCTCTCATCTTTAATAGCTGTGGTGGCATTCTTTAATTTTATTCCAATTACATCTTTTTACTTGAAAAAATAAAATCATTTAAGTTTTCACCAACCAACACATCCACTTGAGGTAAGCCCTTGGAAATTTTCCTCACATTTATCACATGTTCTGCCAGTCACATGACTAGCACACGCACACTGGCCAGAGGTCTTGTTACATACAGGAGAATTAGAACCTGGGGCAGAGCAGTTGCATGCTGGAGAATATAAGAAAGTACTGAGTTGTAACATATAGAGTTGATGAATATAAATATAGTCAGAACTAGGAAGGCAAAGTCCAAAATAATTTATTTTAAAATAATTGTTTTATACACTAAAATTAAAGGTTTTATTCTCTTTCCACGTGAATTGTCAAGGTTGATGCTAAGGGGTTGTGTCTGCTACTATCTGTTAAGTTAGCATTCTCCTTTACTCTTTGTCTGGGCTAAGATATGCAGGAATGAAAATGTACCTATCAAACTTACAAACTCTTGATAAAGACAGGCCAATTTTAATACCACAGTTTAGTATATTTACAATTGAGGTCAGTTCAGCCCTGGAGCAATCTGTCTGAAGGTCATGGAATATACTTTATAATACCAGCATAATACTACATCACCACCTAAACTTACCCCTGCATCCATCCGCCAGAAGGCCCCAGAACTCGTTATCACAGACGTCACATTCCCCACCACCGACATGAGCTGCGCACCTCTCACAATGTTCGCCCACTGTTCCATTTCGACAGTTGAGACACACCCCTGACAGCTCATTGCACTCTGGGGGGTCTGTTGCTCCACGGCGGCTGCAGTTGCATGCCATGCATGTGCTGTAAGGTGAAGTTAGGGATGAGTTTTCTCTTTTGTATCCTGTTGCACAACTTTGGCATGACAGACCTATCACAAATAAACCATTTGACAGTGAGTTAAATGGAATAATGTTAAGTCTAAAAAAAAAAAGGGTTCAATGTAATACAATATTCATGTAGAGGAATATCTCATTTTTACTCAATAATAAAGTTTATTGCAGGATTTAGTGATGATAAGAAAAATTAGAAGAACGTTTCTGCATAGTTAAATCACTCAAGCCTTTCAAGAAGGTGGTGTGTATAATGGTAATGCTAAAAATTATTTTTTTAATTTCCATAAAATTAAATTTCTTGTAGCTAAATCTATTGTTTGTGTAACTTTTGGGTATTTTTATTTCTTCATTTACTTGAAGTAAAGAAGCATTGAAAACTTCCAATACAGAATTTGTAGATTTTTATGATCACTGAAAAAAAATAAATTTAATTACTTTGATTTTAAAAAATATAAGGAACTCTCAATATAAATGTTTCAGGTCATTTCTTGACTTCTTCTTCTATATCTTGAGGGCCCACCATAAATGTATTGATCATCCTTGCTCCTATACTCAATCGAAATTATGTAAAAAAAATGTCAACTTAGCATCTGTGGTCTCTGTTAAATAGTGGATGACTTAATAAACATGATGAGGATGAAATTACCTCCAGTATGGGTGGTTTCTGAACAAGTACATTCCTCAACAAAAGCAACTTCAGTTAATTGGTTTGCACCCTTTGTGCCAGCTTTTTCATTCGACACCATTGCAAGATAGGTAACCCTCACTGGTTGTCCATTTGCCCATGTATTGGGAGTTACTTTGGTTAGGTTTGCCAAAATTCCTATCACAGAAGAGAAACATCAGGTTCGAGAGTGTTACATAAAACAGATTTGTTTAGTTTTGCACATGCTTTGGCTTTTTTTTTTATTCATGATGCCTTTTTTTGATAAGACTATAAGTTTAATTAAAGATATGTTTAGTCTTGAGCCAGCAATGACAGGAAACCATTGATGATTCAAATCTACATAGCTCTAGTATTTTCAGTTTGAAGTCTGAGGTACCATGTTAGTTACTTTAATTCAGAATATAAATCTTTTCATATATTATGGGACCTTCAGAAACAAATTTTGGAAGAAAGATTCATTTAACAATGACAAGACATGAACATACTGGCTTCTCAACTTAAGTCTAAACATTTTAATAATGTATTAATTTACATATATATATATATATATATATATANAAGTCACATCTATCTCTCTTCCTCTTGCCATCTCTGAAAACATGCTTGGCATGCGCCATCTTTATACTCTCGTGTATTCTAGTCTCAACAGTCGTATTCATCGAGGCTATTAAAACATAGTCGAAATTCCGATGATAAATAATTTTTTGGAACTCACTGCATGATGACTGGAGAAAAGACAACGGAAACAAGGATACAAAAAAATTGATTACCTATAACATCTATTGCTGTAGGAATATAACTCTGCTGACCATCGTCTAACATCCAGTTCTGCTCCAGCAAGCGGACCTCATAAGTTAATAATCTGGTGGAGTTGATGAAAGTACCATTTGGTGCATCATGAAACAGGTTTTTTCCTGTAAGAATAGAAAAAACTATGTGTTAACTCAAGGGTAACGATAAGGTATGTTGGATAATAATAACCAATTGAAGATTTGCTCCCTTAGATAACATGTTCCTTAACATTTACAAGAACATCAATTCTAATTTTCATTTGATTTGATATTTTATTAAATCAAATTGTGTTGTATCTGCTGCTTATGTTTATTTATAATAAAAAGGTGATAAGTCTATGAGAAGAGCATTAGAAAAATCCTGTAGTTTATGTACAATTCTTTAGAAATATAATACAAATATCTCATTAAATAGGTTTATGTTCAAGGACAATACAATTGAACTAAAATGTACCGGTACGTTACAGTGCTATAAAAAAAAGATAATTTGAATTTGTATGTTTCATGATTCAAGCATTACAGTGATGTTACTAAAATATTCATTGAGACAATTTCAGTGTGACAGAGGTTAACATTTTAAAAATAAAGTACAAAAGTTAAATTTTCATCAGGGGGACTCACCATTTCCAGTCAGCACAAGAAGTCTAAAACCTTTCAGGTCAAGGACAGATTCACTTTCAAGTCTCAAGGACAAAATCTGACCATAAGAAGTATGGCGGTCACCAAAAAGCAAAGAGAAGTCACCAGAGGAATCAGTTACCTGTAATCTGTGGATTTATATCAGCATAATGAGCACTACACACACAAATCTTGTAACAAATATGACATTTTATTGATGCATGTAGAAAGTACGGAGAGAGTTGTCAAAAGTTGAAACTCATGTCAGGTTTTGATAGCTTATAACTAAAAAAATTATATTTACTAAGAAGTAATATTTAAATTCACACCATCAACTACTATACATACATATTACAGTTTTACAAATAAAGTAAATTTTTATTTTCAGCTCCATTTATTTTTTTGTTGAAATTTTAACTTGCAGTTAACAGGATTAATCAAATTAAAGCTAAAATATTATATTGTTGTTTAATATATATTTGAACTCTATCATATTGATTAATTTAGTGGATATTAAGCCAGCCCCTCCCCCCCCCACCCACTCTTGTTGGCATGTCCATACTCTTATGGCATGTCGACCAAAAGGCATTGCCACAGACCCCCAGAACGCTATCAGGGAGAACAATATCACCATGCAGGGGACCTGTGCATGAGAGATAAAGGCCTTGCATGGAATCGGCATTAGAAAGAGTACAGCTGCATGGTACCTACCAAGCGCATTGAAAATAATGCCAGAAACAGGTCAGGATATGATTACATGTTGCCACTAATGGTTATGAGGCAAGGGTGGGTCTTAGCAGCTGATGATTCTTATCATGCAGCCTAAGTTGAAGGCCAGTTGGGATGGGGAGTACATTGGAAAAGACTTAATGAGCTTTGGCTCGATAGTTTGCTGTTTTAGTGCTTAGTTTTAGTGGATATTAATGTTAAGAAATCTTTTCATTTTCATGTATTATATTTAATTCTTTTAGGGGAAATATGTAAAAGTTGATGAAACATAGAGCCCAAATATATAAGTAATATAGGCCTACTCACAGTTTAGACTGGAATCCAGAAGCTGAGCTACAGTTGGTGCTGTGGTTGTAGCAAAAACATGGCTGACAGCCATCCGGGTTGTAGGCAGCAAGATTAAAAAAACCTGACCGACACACAGAACATTTGACCCCTTCTACATTATTCTTACAGGAACACTCTCCAGTGTTAATGTTGCAGGACACAGAGGTGGACCCAGAGACTGAACAATTGCAGGCACTAGAGAGTGGATTTTAAATAATTGGACTGATTTTAACACAGCTCAAATGGCATAACATAGCAAAACAAAGTAAAAGAAAATCCGTTTAAATATATGAGTTGATTATAATCAGATATTTCTATAATATTTAACAAAATGCTTAAGGGCCAAAGGCAAAGATAGAAAAAAAAATGATAGTCATCAATACACAAGTGTCAAATCCAGTGGTTATGTGTTGCATTAGGTGTTTTAATTATTGTATCTTTTTTAGCTATCTAGTTCTTTTCAATGATATTCATGCTTTTAACTACTAGGCACAATGTTGATGATTTAAAAGTAACTTTTACAATTTATGCCATTTCATTTGAGTCAGAGTTGTGGTCATGCACAATTTTAGGTGGTTTTCATAGTCTCAACTTGGGCAGATTTTATCTAAACTTAAAACTGTAAAACTGCTATTACCTGGCGTCGAAAATGTAATTGCATGAAGTTATTTGCTTAAGATGTGCACTCAAAGTTATGTAAACCTTACAATGGCATACATGATGTCAAAACACGTGTGAAAATATATCTACCTGCAGCCGTTCGCTCCGAACCCATAGTAACCTTCCTTGCAGACGTCACATTTCTTTCCAGTGACTGAATCTTTGCATGGACACTGTCCTGCATCATTGCACTGCAAGCTAGTTGATCCCTGCCCATTGCACTCACAATTGAAGCATCCAGTGCCATTGTTGATACCATAGTAGTTTGTTCGGCAGCTGCTGCAGGTCCCATCTGTGACTGTACTGTTGTCAAGGTTTTTGTCCCCAAGTGTTAAGACATTATTTCTGCACAGGCAGGCACCAGATTTTACATCACAGGCCCTATTTTGAGAACCCTTCTGATGACAATTACAAGCTGGAAAAATAAAAAAATATTTTTTAAAAGTTCAATCAAAGGCTTCTCAGGGACTAGAAAGATGAAAGAAAGAACTGCAAATCCAATATTTTTTTCCTGTTTCGTAAGTTTTAAAAATGAAACTTTTTCATTGTAACCTCTATACCAAGCCTGCACAACATACAGCCCGCGGGCCACATGCGGCCCACCAGCACCCACTTTGCGGCCCGCGAAGTAACGAAATATTCTTTATTATTATTATTCTCTTAATTACTTTCCCCCCTGTCCTATTTTATTTCGGCCTGCACAAGTTTTTCATAAAGTATTACGGCCCACCTTAAATTTTGAGTTGTGCAGGCATGTTCTATACTATAGTTTAGAAATCTTAATTTCTGCCCACAATGCAAACATTGAGTAGAATTGCATTCAAGATTCATCTATGTGAAATTTCTTAATGGAAATTTGTATAGGCTAAATTAAACATTGGCCTTAAAAAAATAATGACATTACCAGGAATGACCCATTTAAAAAAGTTTATAAATATTTTATAAATAGTAATACTTAATCTGTTCATCAAATTGTTGAAATTTATGAGATTATTTTAAACTGGTTCTAGCACTAATAAAACGTTGACGTAATGATTTATTAATGAAAATCATTAGACCAGTTGATAAGGTGCTGGGTGGCCGAGCGGTCTAAACTGTCTCAAACCAAATATCCGTTGGTCCGGAGTTCAATCCCCATCATAGCCATCCCAAGCACCCCGGGTGGATGGGACTCGTTAGCCTTGGACGGCAACCCATCTAAGAGAAGGCAAACTCTGAATTAAAACCAGGAGCCAGAATGATCAACAGATTGATCGTGGGCCCCTCAAATATAAGAAGAAGAAGAAGATAAGGCTTGTTTGTAAATTTTGTTACTTAACAGCAGTATTACTATGCCAGACAGTTATATACCATCCCATTACAATTTTTTAAATAATAAATCTATTCAAATTTCATTAAATAATAGACTTAATTAGATAACTTCAGCACCTAAAGCCTTCACCTTTTGTATTCTTTTAAATAAAGGCAGCAATTCCACTACAGCAGCCTCTGTGTTTCACCTTTTTTCATGTCATATGATCATGTCAGTGAGATGATTAATTCTCCCAAATATAATAGGGACAATAATAGAATAGTTGGTCCCAGAAATCTTGCAATATGGCTTAATTATTTGTGTGATTCTATTTTTTTTTATTGTATCCAATACTCTAATCCACTAATGAGGAGGTATTAGTCATCCATGGGTCCTGAGAGTAACTCCCTGAATGAAGGTCGAAACATCCAACAAAGTCTTAGGCTGTTTAAAGCAGCGCGCTCCATTTTTTAAAATTAATAATCAACTTTTATAAATGTCACAAGTTTCCTGGTTCTTGTTAAATGAGTATTCAAGTCATGGCAAACCATAGATGGAACACCCCCAACAACACAGCTAGACTAAGGATCCATTTATCTCATCAAATGAATCATACCCAGCAAAGGTTGGATAGTCTGGTTCAGGAATGAACACAGGGTTTTCATAACTACCAAAAACTGAATAATCTGGCCTGGGAATGAATGGACGGCTGTCACTATAACTGTCATAGTCCGGGTCAGGAACAAAGCCTGCATTATCTCCCCCGTACATTGGTGGAGGGGGAATAATCCTATCAGCAAAACTGGATTTTCGATTAGGCCTTTTTTGCCTGGCGGGTTTTTTGGGGGACTTTTTTCTTGGATTGTTTGAAGAATGCCTAAAACTTTTGGGTTTTGGTTTAGATTTCTCATTGGCCAGCAATGGTTTGAATGTTGAAAAAAGATCTGATGCTGATAGATTGTCATCACTGTTTTCATTATCCGGTGTAACTGCAGACATCCTTAAATCGGATATGGGTCTCCACTGGTGCAACCTTGATCCATCATATGGATCAGAGCTTTTCAGATTTTTAAAATTATTTGCTTCCACTTCAACACTTCTCGCCTTGGGCTTGTGGGGATATATATCTCTGTTAAATTTACCATCAAAGCTAATGTCACTAACAGTGTGTTCAGGAGGTGAGTTCAAATCTTTTAAACCTAAATAAGTGCGCTCGTTTTTAGGTGAAGATTTTAAAGATTGGGGAGATGACTGTTTCAAATTAAGCTGTGGTGTTCTTTTCCTGTCAAGGCTACTTGAGTTGTCATCAGAAGCAATGAAAAATTTGGGGCGCACATTGAGCTTGCTGGATTGATCATCGGGAGACTCAAACACACTGTCTGATCCCGCCTCCACGTCGGAGATGGTGAATGTTGTCATTTGTTCAGGGGGATTGCTCGTGCTGCCACCTCCAAGCCAACGGCTGTGTTGATCATACAGGCTGTTGCTGTAGACTGGGCTGTTGGGGTTGCCCAATCCTAACCTTGTGATGGTGTAAAGACCATCTGCAACATTTTTATTGTTCTTGCTCCTCTTCCTCAGGCATTTGCACCAGATGATCAAGATAAGAAGGCCAATGGCAATGACGATACAAATAACAATGAGAGCAATGAATCCACCAGACAGGCCACCATCCTGGCTCTCAACGACGGTGGTATTTGATGAGGTGGTGTTTGAGGCTTCCGTTGTAGGTAGTGTTGATGGTGCAGATGTGTTACTAGCTGTTGAAGTGGTTGCAGTGGTGGTGGAGGTGGTGGATGTACTAGTAGTTGTTGTAGCAACAATGAACTCTGTTTCACAGGGCAAAGCCAGGCAGCCTGCGATTTAAAAAAATAAAAAGTAAAACTCACTGTATCATTTGGTATTTGTAAAATTTTCATTAACTGCTAAAACTTATACTGTATTCAAAAAGTAAAACGAATTTACGCACAATTAAATTTATAAGATATGTAACCTTTTAAACAATATCTTTTAATAATTGTTTTGAAAAATAGAAATTTCCTTCCAAAAGCTAAAAATATTTATATCTTTGCTTTTAAAAAAATGTTAAGTTCTTTTCTCAAATATGATACAGTGGTTTTGAGAACAGGCTGCCCAGCTTTTGATAATGAAGTCAATGAAGCTCAAAATAGAATCAATATTATTCCATAGCAAGCACCCACAATTAGCAGCATACAGAAATTAATCGAATTACAAATCTTTAAAAAAAATATATAATTTAGGACTAATTTCACTGGAATAATTCAATTTTTTTGTTCATAAAAGATCAACTTTCTCACAGGTAATCTGTAAAATGTTGACAAATTTTTCAAATGTTTTTCATTCAGTTATGAGTATAATAATAAAGTAATCACTAATGATATTTTAGAGATCATTTGTTTTGTAGAATAAGTCAGTTTTCCAGAGGTTATTTTGCAGTCCATAGTCATTTGTTGTATCTCAATGAAGCTTGATCAAAATGATTTTATTACAAAAATTTATTGTACATTTTACAATTTCAAAATTTAAAAAAAAAAAACACAAAAGAAATTTGATTCTTATTAAAAAATGTGCAAGTATAATCAAACTTGATCATATAAGTTTTCTGTGCTTTTAGTTACATCCATTTCAAGCTGCTCTATTATTTTCATTCTCCTGTTTTCATGCGTTCAACTACAGGAGCACTTACGAACACATCCGCTGTCTGTAAAGTTGAAGTAGCCAGGTGTGCAGATGCCACAGTCCCTCCCTGAAACACCTGGCTTACATTGACATTGTCCACCAAGGGCTTTACAGAATGACCCACTGACAGTACTTATCTCATTGCAACTGCATGCTGGAACAAATATAAAAATCAGAATGAGAAATAATGTTGCAGTAGATTTTATGTAAATATATTTTTTTTAAATAACTTATAATGATGAGAAAATATAAAATAAATTCTTGCTCATTATTCCCTTAAAATTAATTTTACTATATTAAGTGGCTTCTGAATGATAAAGAATTATTTTAATTTTACTGTTCTTGAAACAAATGCTTTTTTTAACACTGGCTTATGAAGTGGGTTTATATACTTACTAATTTTATATTTTGTTCCTCATGTTTAAAGACGCATGCGCTTACCTTTAGCCCCATCGGACAGCTCAGTTCCTACTGAATACAAGAGCTCCTTACAGGGGGACTGGGCCAGAGGTTCTTTTTGTGTCTGTAATGAAGACAGCTGCTGAAGGCATGAAAGATAGGTTTCCTGAGTTTTTGTTTGGTTATCTGATTTGGCATAGACTTCAAAGCTTAAAGAACCATCTGAACTTGAGAGTGTGGGGAGTAAAGCCACTGAATCGATTGTGACAACTGATCCTGCAAAGTGTTAAAGATAAGATATTGGAAATTAATGTCTCAACAGAAATTATTCTTGGAAATAAATTACTTAAAATGAAAAATCATACTTAATAAAATCACACCCAAATAAAGAGCCTTTATTGTATTCATATTTACAAAAACAAGTTGATAGTTATAAAACTATAATTTGGTTAAATTCTAAATAAAATATGTAAACAAAATTTATATGCTAAAGATCTCTCATACCAGCTGGATTTGTTTCTCTTGTTGACAGTGAGGAAATATTCATGTGCAGTTGTAACTTGTAATCACATCTGGCATCAATGGTGAAGTTCTGTAATCGTGAGATGGCTGCTGTTGAAGTACCTGTTAAAATATAGTAAATTTTTAGTTAATATTTCATAATATTTATCAATCTCAATAATATGTTTCCTATGTAATCTTTATTAATATGTTTCCTATGTAATCTTTATTTCTCTTTTAAATAATTATACAAAAAGTACATCACATCTAATTTAAAAATTATTTTATGTTATGCACTTTATTATAAAGAAAAGAATAATATTTTTTAAACTAAACTAGTCAAAAAATTCTTTTTAATTGGAATAGAGCAACAAAAACAACGAAACATGAACATTAGCATAAGTATAATAAGGACTCTATCAAGCAGCTTATATCTCAATGAATATGAATGAGTGAACCCTGCTTTATTAAAATGAAACCATGGGGGCCAATAAGATCACCCTGTACATGACATTTCAACTTGATGCAAAGATCCTCTAACCTGGAACTAACTGGATGTCAGCTTGAATGGATTGCCCTATGACAGGGCAGCCTACAGTCACAGTCTGACCTAAACGTATGCTCAATGCTGACAATGCTTGGGTTGTGTTTCCTGTAGCATTGACTGTCACTGTACCAGTGACGTATGATACATTGGTAGAGTACCTCACTGCCACAAGGTAAGGCCTTTAAAAGAATGAAAACTTTAACAGTTTGGCTGGCAGTCAAAATTATAAACCTTGTTGTTGTCTAACAGTTAGGATCATTTTGTTCAGTAAAAATAAAAAGTATACAAGTATGGGGACATACTTTGTTTAAACGATTTGAAAAAAAATGGTTAGAATCATGAAATTTTTGTTTCCAGTGTATTTCAACAGTTGATAGGTTGTCATAAAAAATTAAAATCATTTAAGCAGGATTTAAAATGAACTAATAATTCAACTTTTTACACATGAGTTTAGTCCCAAACAATGGATAGCTAAATTTTAAAAAAATAGATTCCCTGTTTTATATTAAAGCAACAGCAATTTTTAAGAAATAAAATGAATATTATTAAGAGGTGTGGACAATCCACAGATTGGCTTTAAAAGCAGAACCTTTTAAAGACTGAGTTAGGCCTTTTTCAGAAATTAAAAAAAAACATAAACATAAAACATTAAAGTATTTTTTAAAGCAGCAACTTACCTCAAGGTTTGATCTAAACCAGGCCACATACAAGCAATATGCAATATTAATTAGCTGAAAGAACTCACCATTGGAGTGCCCTCTGAATCATACCACCTAGAACATTCTCAAATTGTAATGTGGCACTTCCAGCTCCAATATCACAAACAGCAAAATTGGTCCCATCAAATGGTTGTTGGTCTGTGTATAGGTCACTGGTCACATTACAAATGCCAGGTAATGGCTGATAGGTAAGAACATCAACAGCGGGTATAAATGTACCTGAAATTATTATTATTATAAAATTAATAAGTGTAGCCTACGGAAAGCAAGTTAATCAGTTATTTTTTTCTATCAAATGTTTTTTTGGGAGATACTTTGTGCAGGAATTAGATGCAACAGGTTGGCATGGATGATAAAGCAATGAATTCACAATATCAAAGCTAATAAAATAAAAAAATTAATTCTGTTCAAGTAATTTAATCTCTATATATTTTTTTAAATTATAAAATTTTGTATATGCTAACTCATCGTTATTTTGAAAATATATTTAATTTTTATATATACTTTTAAATGCATTTTTATAGGTATTTATAATGAAAAAAATAATATTAAGAGATATCTTTAAGAAATAAATTCTTCGATGATCGGATTAATAATTTTATTTTTGAAATTTAAAAAAAAATTACCTGCTATTGTTTGATCACATTTTGAGCTGGTAATATTTGTCCTACAAGGACATGAACCATTGACTTTGTCACATACTGCTGAGAGTGAGCCCCCTTTATCACAGTTACAGGAATAGCATTCCTAGGAAGGAACATTACAAAAGAAACTTCATAATACAGATTTTATTTTTTGCTAAATGAAAATTAATAATGATTGCCTTCCCCTTCTAGATTCAGATTCACAAGCTTATTTATGTATGACCATATATTTGCTTGTGTAAGAGCATTTATCTTAAATGAAATCAGTTTGATGAGCTAATTATGAAGTAGCAAGGATAAATGTTTAGTGTACGGTTCAGGTTTTGACAAGAGTTGTCTCACCCAAAGTGTGGTCACGTCACCGTAGCCTTCATTTCCCTAGGTCCCTCCCCCACTTACAAGGAAAAAAAATAAAATTATAAAAACAAAAATTTTATCAAAATAAATACAGTGCTAAAAATCAAAATCTCTTGACCAAAAAACTGTGGTTGGTTGTTGACCAAGGGAAACTTCATGACCCGTATAGCAGTATGGCATGGAAGACATCACCAGCCATACTGCAATCTAAATTCTAGCCAGCTTACTTCTAGCGGGACATAAACAATTTTTTTATTTGTCTGCACTGCTTTCCCTTCACTTTGGAATACATTTTTAAAAGCTGTTACATGTTGCATCATTCAAAGGCACACACTTTTTATTTATAAAAAGGAAACCTTAATCTTACCCTCTGAGGGTTTCCTGTTGGGAAGGAGAAGTATCCATCTTTACATGCATCACACATCCTGTGCTCAGTTGTTTGTTTACATGGACATTGGCCAGTGTCTTGAGCACATGTGTTGCTTTCTCCAACAGTGCCAGCAAGGTTACAATTGCATTCTAAGAGCAGACAGAAGTGTTTATCATTGAAGAATAGTTTTTTACTACAGACAGAAAATATTTTTAAAAATTAAATTAAAATAAGAACATTACAACCTTTAAAAAAAGCATTTTTTTTTTTTTAAATTTGCTTATCTAACCAACCTCACACAATCAAAAATGTATATTTCAATTACCTGTGCAATTTCCAGGCACTGGCCCAGTCAAAAGTCCATAGTATCCAGGTATGCACTGGTCACACCTTCGTCCAGTTGTAAGTGCTTTACATATGCACTGACCAATTTTGGTAGATTCGCTTTCAGTTTGGGAACAAACAAGGTTTTGATCTAAAACTCCCAGGAGTTCACAGTTGCAAGCTAATGACAAAAAAATTGTTCCGTAGTTTAAAAATAAAAATTCAAATCAGAATTAGATCATTTTAAACTCCACAGCTATAGATACACTAAAAATTAATCTTAATAATATCAAGCTTCATCGTATTTAACTAATTACACTGCTCAAATTATTTCACATAAAAAAAACAGATAATAAAAACTGCCGTTGTCTTGCACAAAAATATTATCAATAAATTAAGATAACATTTTTTTTTTGTGCCAACTTTTATTATTAAAAAACAACTTAAAATACCTTATGTTTCCAAGATCAATAGTGTCTCGATTATTCAGAAAACCTTCAAAAAGCTGTTACAGTTTAATGATCTAAAATTATGACTAATTGCACAAGTCACAAGATTTACTAGTTGTATAGAGTATTATCAAATAAAGTCAATATCTTTTTACAAGGCTTACTTTGGTTTATTTAAACATTCTAGGAATTAGTTTTACCATTCTAAATTTAATTTTCATCCTGAGTAAATTAGTAAATATGTATTGAACATAAATTATTTATTTTTGATATCCCATATCATAAGTCTTCTTTGTATTACTGTGTTATTAACTGCTGTGAAAATTCTGTTGTCACAGCTGCCATAATAAAAACTTTTTTTTATCAAATTTCTACTTTCCAAATCCAATACAGTATTGCACTTGCTAAACTATTATTATTTTATTTACCCCTTTTTAATGTCTATTTTACTTTTCTTTTCGGTAAGTTATAAATTTGATCTCAAAGCCTTTATTTAATTCTCTTTCATGGCTGTCATTCTGATCCTAAAGTTAAGTTTCTAAGGATTTTTTTAAACAAGTAGTTTGACCAACTTTCTTGACTTAGAACTCATTTACCAGCATCTTTAAGTTAAAATGTAATGCATCTTACCTATACACCTGTCTATATCATTGAGAGGTAGTGACACATTTGGATAATACTTGAGCACGCACAGTTCACAGTGGTACCCCCTTGTGTTATGTAGGCAAACATCACAGATTCCACGCCCATATGTTGCATTATAGGTGCAACTTTCTGCATGGTCATTACATTCACATTCTGTAATATGAAAAAAAAAAATTGTGAATAATAGTATTCAAGTTTTTTGGTCATACAACTGGAGTCTATTCGCTTAAAAGCAAAATGAAAGAGTCAAAGTAACGGGGTTAAACCAGAGTTTTTGTTGTAAAACATTTATTAGATAAATCTTCTTAGTACTTCTTTCTGTTCTGTCCGCTCCTACCTGGAGGGACCTTTGGGGAGGTAAGTTGGCAATCTGTTGCATGGTGTAAGACCCCCTGAATATTAATGTTCAATTTGAGGGTGTCCTTAGCACAGTTGATCCACCATCGGCATGGTCTTCCTCTGATTCCAGAGTCCCTGCTCTTGTAGGCTTGCAATACAGATTGGTTGACATGCATCAGGTGGCCAAGCCAATTAATTTACTGTTGGGCCATATCCTTGTGGATTGTTATGGCACAAATCATTAGCTTTATTTTCTAGTTCAGAATGCGGTTCATGATTGCTGCAGCCTTCAAATTAAACATCTTATCTCATAGGTGAAAAGTTGTTTCTATAAAGTTTTTTTCAGGGCCCAGGTCTAGTACTGGTCAGGGTTGAAATAAAGACAGTGTTAAGGAGTATTAACTTGATTTTTTGGTGTCTTAGTTGTGAGGCGATTTTGTAGCAGACTGCCTTTATGCTCTGCACTCTTGTCTACTTCTCTCTGGGTACCACCTACTGACACGATCTCAGTCTTCACTATGCTGGTTTTCCTCCAATAAAGTTCAAAGTTATTAAGTGAGCTTCTGTTCATGTCTGTCTATAAATATGTTTTTTAATTTTATTTTTATAACACAGCACATTAAAGAAATTTTTTGATGAACTTATAATTACAAAAACAATACTTGTTTCCCCACATTGGGTGGTGCTAGGCTAGACTCTGTTTCTTTTCTTAAATTAGAGTAGAGATCATGAAAAAATTTAACAGTTCAAAATTATTATTCAAACAATATCCCAGTAGCGAGCTTTTAATTTAAACACACTTTTATTCACAGAGCCTAAATGTATTCTATTCTAACTTTTTTTTTTTTTTTTAACTGCTGACAAAACTTCTAACCAGCTGTCACACCATCGATTAGGAAACAACCCAGCCTATATATCACATAACTATGATCACATGGCAGCCAGGCACTAAGAATTTGTTTCATGTTTTTCATGAAACAATTATTCTAAAACAAAACTTATTTCATTATTGAATTCAGAGCTTCAGAAGCAATCAATCAATATATAGTTATTAAAAAAACTAATGCATATATAGCCTACATGTATTTATAATGATTGCAGGTTCATATATTATGTCATGGCATTAGTCTATTCTCTACTATAAAAATTTAGTTGATATGATATGTAGCAAAGAGTGATGGTCTGTCAACATGTCGTAGTATTTGTTAGCTTAAGATGTGTTAAGATTCCCTATAATAGCATTAGGCCCATAGATAGAAATAGAAAAAAAATGTTTCCATTATTAAAAAATGCAAGATAATAATCAGTCATCAAAATTTAAATTGGAACCATTTTATTCACTTTGGAGAAGAGTTTTAATCATTACCGGTACAGATTTTAATAATTATTTTGTTTGTAAACCATACACAAAATTCAGCTTATTCCATTGAATTACCTGTAACCAAATTGTTGCAAAGGCCATTAAAGTGGTTCGATTTTGATAAAATGTCAGCAGTTAAATCATGGTTGACATTGTTTGCAAGTCCTGTCATACATTGGGATCCAGGTCCTCAAAGCTTTATAATGTCTTAGTCTTAACAATTTATGGTAATTTCATAGTTACCAATGTAAATTTAATTCTGTTTATATAATCTAGATACCTAACTTGACCCTTAAAACATTTTATCATATGCCATTGACAATTGCATGTGCTCATTACAAATTTACAATACAGAGGTAACATAAATAAATAAATGGTTTCATCATTGGCAACGTTCCTTATATATGGATAATTAATAAAATTTAGATCACTAATATAAATTGGGTTGTTTAAAAAAAAAAAAAATTAGATCTAGTTCATGGGAAGATGAAATAAAAATTCTTTGTCATTTAGGGCTATAATATTGAAAGAAAAGTAGGACGTGAAAATTATGTTGGTTTAGTTAATTACTTACTAATACAAGGATTGGCCTGCCCTTTAGGGTATGGAAGGTAGCTTCCCTTCTGCCAAAGTCTCTCGTTATACAGAGGCTTACAAGTCTCACAGTTTTTTCCCATTGTGTTGTGCTCACAATCACAAATGATATCTGTATCTGTATAGTTACAGACAGCTGCATGAAGGTTGCAGAAACATCTGGTTTCCCACAAAAAAAAAATTTTAAATCATCATGTAGGATGCAAGCTTATGTAAATTTTATTTTAACTCAAAACTTAAAGCATAAAAATTCCATAGTAAATCCTATGAAATTTATTATTAGAGGTAGTGACTTGCACATCAAAGAATGGACATCTAAACAACAGATAATTTTAATAGTTAGATGGCTAAAATCATATTAAAAAAAAAAGATAAAATTAATAGCTAGATGAATAAAGTTTTATGTGATTGAATAATTGATGCTTTTATAGAAATGAATTGACACAAAAAGTATCTGCCTTCAAGTCATTTATTTATAAACATTATAAACTTTAACTTGAGAATTTCTTAACTTCCCCAGGAATCATGAAGAAAGATTTCTTTATTCAATAATATTATCTGCCTGAACAAAATACATACTGAGTATATAATGTAGATATGCATTCATTTGAATATGATCAGTGGTTGGAAACTCTAAAAAAGACTGATTTGAAAATCATCCCTATTTCTCATGAGATTTTATGTTTTTTCAAGTATTTTATACAGATGAATTTGAATATTTTGATGCCAATTTAAAAAAAAAAAATTCATGTGCCATGGTGAATGAGCGCTTTATATTTGTCTATCCCTGAAATCGACTGTTCTAGTCTCACCTGGCTACTGCCTGAATATCTGAAATTGCATAGTAGTACATGTCATAGGTTGTTTTGCCATCAGTCAGAGGCTGTATTAGACGTATTCTCATATCTGAGGACGAAAGAACCAAAAGAATATCAGTGAAAATTATATGTTTTACAAGAATAAGTTACCTTAAAAAAACATATACAGGTACAGCAACGCAACCCCCTTCCCAAACTTTTAAAATTATACATGCCCCACCTTGCACGAAATGCATGAAAAATATACAACTAAGAAGGTGACAGCTGGGGATTAATTAAAACTGAAGTTAAAATTTTCTTTCTTGTTCACCTGTGAAAAGTAAAAAGTCCAACAATTTTAATTCTAATGCCTCATAAAATTTGGCAAATTCAATCTTTAGAGGTCCAAGGAACAGATCAAAGCGATCTTCATTAACCAACTTGACAGTTCTACCCGCAACTGCTCTTGGTGTTGTTTCTGTATACCTGAAAGTTAAGGAGATAATATAATATTGGATTAAATAATGGCAATGTTGAGGAATACATAAGAAAAGTAAAAAATACATCACAAATTTATATTTTATATTTATGGCTGACTTCTACGCTAGGTAAATAGGCTACTTTATATGGCTAGTGTTTAAATTGTTATAATTTTTTAACCGCTGTCTTTGTTAAAAATGTGTATATATTTATGTGGTGAAAATAAATATGCACAATATAATAAAACATTTGCATTTATTTGGATCAAAAAATAATCTTATCTTATCTTATCTTAACGTAACGTAGCAGTAGGCTACATCTATTTAACAGTGGCATTGTGCAAAAATTAGAAGTGAATTAATTATTTAATATCAATTCAAATTTTAGTCCTCTTTACTTTGAAATATGGGAGATAAATTATAATAAATATATTTTATACTTGCCCTCAAGTTAAAATTTACTATCTAATATTCCGTTCACTCACTGATTTAAAAAAAAAAATAAATGAAAATTTCGGATCTTAAATTTTCGCCATGTGTTTGTGGTGATTTTAAATTTAGATATAATATGTCCGGTAATATCTTCTACGCTCTTAAATTAATTGAGGGAGAGAGAGGTCTAAAACTTTTTTTTTTTTAAATACATAATTACATGTTTGTGCATATGACTGCAGTTGGATTATCAGCAGTTATTTCTGCCCCAGGCACAAGCTGAGCTTGAAAATCGTCACAGTTCTTAGCATAGTACTGTAAAGGCTGCCAAGTAGCTCCAAAATCAGAGGATTTTTCCAAGATCATCTTATTGGGACGACCAGAGTTGAATGTAATAATTACATCGCTATTCATACGGAATGTCTTATTGAATGACACAGTGATGTTGATATTCAGTGCTGCGAGGACAAAGAACATTAAATTATTTTCAACGTGATGGATTTAAAACACATTATTATTAGCACTAGCAAAGCAAAGTAGGACTAGACTGTCTAAATAGATGAAGCAGGGCTTACACTTATTAAACGACGAATGGGGTTGGAGGGGGGAGGGGGAAGGGGTGTCAAAAATTTATGACGAATTGTGAAACAGTGTGATGGAGTCAAAAATAGACCAAACTGGCGCGACATCATTTTTGGATTGTCCCCACTTGCGTGATTAGTCGGCAATATTTAAAAATAAAAGATCTCTCAGGAATTAATTATAATGATTTTTTCATTATTTAATTTGGAGTACTTTGTTTTAATTTTTACTAACTAGTCTATAAGAACTTAACAACAACTGCCCGCATTAAATACTTTTATTGAATGAAAGTGAAAGCGTTAATAATAGGGGATGGTGAATGTAAATAATGTAATATGATGCCAATGCCACCGATTTATTTCACGAATTAAAATTCCTGATGACTGCGCTAAGGCTAAATGGGATTCGTAAAATTATTGCATATGCGTTTGGTGGGTAATATTTTCTTTTGCTTTTCTGAAATAGTTGGTGAAATAAATCTGCGGTATAAAAGCATGTGTGAAATTTTTTTTTTTCCAGAGGTTGTTTAATTTAGAATGCGAAATTATTATTTAAGTTGTTCAATCAAAACGTCGTGGTTGTTTAACACATTTCAGTGGCGTATTTTATAAAATTTTCTCATTCGCTTGCAATATGAAAGAAAGCTATCACTAAAGATTTGGAGCAGGTTTTATAATTTCTTGCAGAGCCACGATACGGACAAATTGTTTTCAACTCTATCTCCGCTCCGAGTTAAGGTGGTTTTAAGACTTTAAAGATATGTGTTTATTATTGTCAGTTAACCATCATGTTATTAATTAGGCATTAGAAATGCATGTACCAGCAACATAAGAGGTAGAAGAGGGGGGCAACATAGCCAGACCCGCACCTAGGAAATTCTGGGTCCCAGGCAGCTGACAGAGTTAGGGCTCCTATCGCGTTTTAAACATTTGCGTAAATTTTAAAACTCGAAAAAGGGTGGGCCCCCATCTAGCTCGGGCCTCTGACAAGTGCCATAGTCCCCCCCCCCCAGGTGCGGGCCTGAAATAGCAGCAGCTGTTAGAAGAGTGTGGCAACTTAGCTGGTAGAAGAGTGTGGCCACTTAGCTGGTAGAAGAGTGTGGCAACTTAGCTGGTAGAAGAGTGTGGCAACTTAGCTGGTAGAAGAGTGTGGCAGCATAGCTGGTAGAAGAATGTGGCAACTTAGCTGGTAGAAGAGTGTGGCAACTTAGCTGGTAGAAGAGTGTGGCAGCATAGCTGGTAGAAGAGTGTGGCAACTTAGCTGGTAGAAGAGTGTGGCAGCAAAGCTGGTAGAAGAGTGTGGCAACTTAGCTGGTAGAAGAGTGCGACAGCATAGCTGGTAGTAGAGTTGAGAAACATAGTGACCGTGCACATATTATATGATACAAAAATATGACAGTTTCTACACCCATAACCCTTACAACGTTACATAACATTTCCATTTACCACTCCCTAATATTATTTAACATTTCTTTCAAACTCACCCCTAACCACCACCAAAAAATTAAAAAAAAAAAATTAAAAATCTTGATAAAACCGAATACATTAAAAGAAACGGGTCAAAGCACACACATTTAGACCTAGAGCAAAAAGCAGATTTTTAAAAACTAAAAATGTGCTAATTATTGTGAGCAAAAAAAGCTTTTAATCATGGGCCAATTTTTTAATTTAAAAAAAAAGAATAAATTTTGATAAAAAATAATTAATTTAAAAAACAGCAAATACAAAAGAATTGTTATATAAAATTGCTATCTACCACCCCCACCCATAATATAAAACTCAATAATAAAATGATAAACCACCCCTACCCTCTTTGCATGATAATATGTCCACGGTCCCTTGACTGTAAAAGAGTGGGACAACATAGTTGTAGAAGAGAAGGGCACCAGCCATCTTTAAGAAAAGTTTACAAAGAACGTAAAAATCAGTGAAGGGACAAAATATCCAAGCAGTGGAGAAATTCACATATTTGGGCAGTACTCTCTCCATTTCAGTAGCAATAGATGAAGAGATCAACAACCGAATTTACAAATCAAAATTTGCATTTGGAAGGCTCTGCAAGAGTGTTTGGGAGAGGAAGGGGTCTCATTCTTGTCACTAGGCTGGACGTATATGGGGCAATCGTATTAACCTCTCTCTTAAAGGCTAGTGAGACATGGACAGTGTACAGCAGACATGGTAGGCAGCTAAACCATCTCCACCTATGCTGTCCACGTAAACTTTTTGGCATAAGGCGATGCAAAGGTCTTACAATGGGGAAGACTTTATCAGCATCCACACGGTGCAACAAAAAGGCCAGGCCAGATTGGCAGGGCATGTTGCAAGGGCACGTCAGATGGGCAGGGCGTGTTGCAAGGTCAAGCCAGATGGGCAGGGCATGTTGCAAGGGGGAAGCCAGGTGGGCAGGGCATTTACAAGAATGCCAGACAGCAGACTGTCCAAACGATTTATGTTCGGTGACCTCCCCAGTGGGAAACGCTCAGCTGGTAGGCAGAAAAAAGAACGCTTCAATGAGTGTCTGAAATCTAAAAGATTCACTCCATTCCATGGACATTGACCTTGATTCGTGGGAAACACTTGCCATAGTTCGTACAAGTTGGCGAGGTCGACTCATTCTTGGAAGACATTAATCAGAGAATAAACGCATCTTTCACGATCGAGCAAAGACCACGGCAAGGAAAAGCCGAATCGACTCAAATCCAACTTGGACCCAAAACACAAGGCGTGCACTACGTGCGGGAAAGCTTTCCGGGCACAAATAAGACTGGCAGACGACCGCGTACTCCCCGTTGAATGTAGCCTGGGGCATCTATATATAATTTCTAAGCGGACTTTCTTTGCGGGATGTATTTTTAAGAAATTTAAAGTTATTTTGTTAACTTTGTAGTGCGTTTTAATTCTTCTTGGATAGTAAGCATTTTTTTTTAAAGTTTAAAAAAAAACAAAGTTACTATCTATTTTGTAGTACAAAATTGTAATTTTGAAATAATCGACAAAAAGTAAAGTTATAAACGTTTTTTAAACATCGAATGTTTACAAAATCTTAGTTAACAATGCTTAACTCTTTACTTAGGCATAAAACTAAAGAGTAGACCTGAAATCACCCACCCACTCGTTCACTCAACGAAGCAGACGCGACAGCCACGATAATTCGAACGACAGTGTCACGTGATGAAAATGCGATTAAAGTAAAGTAATAATCCATTTTATGGTTAAAGATGGTCTGTAAGTTTTTTGTAAGCCAGAATAAGATTTCAAACGACGAGACACAGAAAGAAAAGAAAGAAGAACACAAGAAAGAAAACAACAATAAAATAATGTCATTAAATTAAATTATTTAAAAACAAAAGGAAATATTTTTATTTTTGACATAATTTATGATGAAACACACACACACACACACATAACAACAACAAAAAAAACAACAACAAAGAGAGAAAAAGGGAGAAGGACAGTTTCTACATTGGATACAAAAACCATTTATGTCTTCTCTGACGGCAAGACAGCTCAACACAACACACATCTTACATGGTAGTACAGTAGGCCTACTGTCAGCACAATGACCCAATCATTATCAGACATAGTACATGTCTGCTACGAAAAACAAAAAACAAAAAAAAATCTTTTAACGGTACAGGTCTACTACAAATGAGCCCATCACAAGGGTTCTCAAATTACCTTCGGTACCCGGCAGCATGTTGACGCTCTGCCACCACGAGGTGGCGTTGTCATCAATCATCAAATTGGGCGGATGCCGCAGAGTCGTTGACGCGGCGTTACATGTTTCATTGACTGAGCCCTGTTTGGTGGAGAGACGGGGGGAAAAAACAACAACGTAAAAACAGAAATTATAGATAGTATACCTAATAACGTTTTTCAAGAGAAACAAGGCCACTTTTTATTGTTAACGATGTTCTTAAATAGGAAAGTGGGGAAAGAAAAGGGGGGGGGGGTGATGGCTGGAATTTTAATTAATTAGAAACACAAATGATTTGACATCGGTTTTCCACACGTTTGGTCATGCGGACTCGTATATTGTGACATGCCAGCATTGCGGAGGTCCGGCAAGGGAAGGAAACATCAAAATGACGACAAGAACATTACAAAAGCCAAGAATGAAATAAGCAAATTGATGTTCAAAATATAATTTTGTTTGACGTCCTCACAGTTTTAATTTCTCTATAAAACTACTTTTATTATTTTATAAGGTGTATGTCATCGATTTTCCAGACCTTTCACCTATTATCACGGATTACATTTGGTGATTTCGATGTTAGTGAAAAGCCTACTTTAATGATTGTGATTTCAATAATGCCAATTTTCTAAAGCGGTTTAAGTAGTAGATACATAAATATATTCCAGGAATGGACAAGTTTTAAAAATCAATGAAGTTAATTATAAAAAAATAAAATAAATGTACATAAGAAAATAGATACGAAGTACTCAACATTTTTTAACTTGGGAAAATTCGAGGCGGTGTTTTTCTAATTTTTTTAATGTTTAAATTTTTACGTAAAATTTAAGTATATTATGCAGCGCGAAATCTATTTTTTATCCGTCTCTTCTTAGTTATTTTAACCAACGTTATTACGTCATGACGAGCACAACATTGATACAGCTTATTATAGAAATATGATAATATTTTTCCTCATCAAGTGAGGAAAGGGGTGGGAAACCTGCGGTTCGCGGGCCACATGTGGATCGTTCCACTTGCGTACATCGAAATATGTAGACTGTAGTGTTATAATATCAAATTTTGTTTTCTTGTTGAGCTCAGAAGCACTATGCAGAGTGTAAGTGTAAACATTTCTTTAGATTAGATTTTAAAAAAAAACAACAACTATGTAATCTCAGCACAGACTGAACATATCAACATTGGCAAAAACTACTAAAGGGACAGACTCCACATTTCAGTCCTTGTGAAATGTTTACGACACTCCACATGCCGATATTACAATTTAAAATTTTATAAACTCACTTTTTTATGTGCAAAAAGTCTTTTTTTTTGGGAATTTGAAATTTTTTCAAAGTAAGATTTTGCGGAACTGGAAATTTTTGTTTGAGATATATTCACATATTTATCAAAACACATTTTTAATTCTTAAAAAAAGCAACCAAAAAAAAAAAAAAAAAAAAAAAAAAAAAAAAAAAAACAAAAAAAAAAAAAAAAAAAAAAGAAAAAAAAAAAAAGGCCTACTTCTGTGATGAATGCCTACTTCCGTGATCAATGCCTACTGTGACGATGAATGCCTACTCCTATGATGAATGCTACTTAAATATATATATTATATATTACTAACTTGCCATAGCACAAGCTTGATGGCATAGATTTAGCACGGAGACTCACGGCACATGAAATTTTTGTTAGTAAGAGTTAATGAACAAAAGACTCTTATTTAAACTATGAAGAAGAAGTTCTTAGGCTATTGACATATTACAAGAGGATAGACCAAAATATATTTAACCTTTCCTATTCACCTAGCAACTCTGTGATCTAGAGTTCGCGTATAGATCACAATACATTTGACCTTTCCCACTTAGCAACTCTGTGATCTAGCGTCCCGTATAGACGACAATATATTAATCTTTCACATGAAGCACTCTGTGATCTAGAGTCTCGTAAAGACCACACTATATTTAATCTTTCCCACGTAGCTCTCTGGGATCTAGAGTCTCGTATAGACCTTTTTTTAAAAAAAAAATCTGTCCCACGCATCTAACAACTCTGTGATTGCGTGTCACTTACGTTGTAACTTATCGGACTCGGCTGGCCAATTTTTCTTACATCCTCAGTGGCAAGTTATGAACATGATTTTGGTTTCTGGTCTGGGAGACTTAAATGTTGGCACGTGTTTGACCAACTGTTCCCATTACACTAGAGAGCTGAAGTTTAGGTGACGTCGCGTCTAGAATGACAAACAAGCCAGTCAAACTTTCAAATTCGTCCCTGATCCAGCTAATCTTCACTTCCTTCCATTATCCAAAAAAAAAATCCCCATATCCTTTCTTTAAGCATCAAATTTCACGTCATTTCACGCTCCATCAAATCTTCGCTCCATTCCCCATCTCCATCAAATCTTCACGTCTTTCTTGTCTCCATCAAATCTTCACGTCTTTCTTGTCTCCATCAAATCTTCACGTCTTTCTTGTCTCCATCAAATCTTCATGTCTTTTTTGTCTCCATCAAATCTTCATGTCTTTTTTGTCTCCATCAAATCTTAACGTCTTTCTTGCCTCCATCAAATCGTCATGTCTTTCTAGTCTCCATCAAATCTTCGCGTCTTTCTTGTCTCCATCCCATTTTTCAATTATTCCTTATCCATCAACTCTTCACATACTTTCCTTATCCATCAAAGCTTCACGACATTACCATATCCGGTGATCAACTCCAAGAAAAATGTGTCACATTAAATGTATTGTAACATTTACACGTCACAATTTAAGTATTTTCATTCTACTCTACACCCACCCCATCCCCATTTTTTTTTTCTAAAAGGGCTTTTAAAAATGCGTAAATTGGCCTGTACAGGTAAGAAGATTACCAGATTCTATGAATTCTCAAACTAAAGCTGTTACACAAAAATCGATACTTGTATTCCCCATTAGTTGTTAAACGTTCTACGTGATTGAACAGCATGCATTTCAGCCAGTTGCGTACATATACAGCTAGGATTTTTTACGCCCGATTGTGTGTGTGTGGGGGGGGGAGGGGGCTTAAATTTTCCGCCCCTCGCTGACGAAACACACAAAATAATAAGAGTACGCATCAAGCTAAAGCCGAATATAGAATATAAAAAATGAACCGAAAAAATGCCACCTCTAAAATAAAAATATTTAATAAAAAAACAAGACCCGGGGTTGTCCCCCTTATCCACTCTTCACTTCCTAAACCAGGTTTAAGTGTAATATAATGTCGCTCTGACTTAAACACAGAGCGATTCGCTCCGCTGGAAAAAAAATCAAATTTTCTTTATGTTAAAAAGAAAAAATCAATAATCGTATTCAAAGAAACAGCTGTTCTCAGAGCAATACAATGTTGTTGTAAATTTAAAATTGAACATTAAAAATTTAAATGAAAATAATAAACATCAACAATTGTTGCGTTTGTATATTAATTAATAAAGAAAATGTAGATTTAGACATAGGCTTCTGGATCATTCTTAAAGGTCAAAATGTCTTCCAAAATGTTATTCAAAGTTGCGACTTTATCACTGAATTTTTTTAAACCGAGTTTTACAGGATGAAATAATTTTAGATGACTAAAAGCAAATTTCCGATATATTTGAATACAGTCTCTGGTGATACTTTCTCCTATGTAGGCCCTATACTGAAGCTAGATAAACGACTACCATTGTCCAAGTAGCCTACTCGATAAGATAGGTTTTCTGTGTTTGTTGGTTTGGAACGTTTGCTGCCGACAAGAGAGAGTTGGAATAGCGTTGCATATTTAGATTATCCAGCTGCGTCTTCTTTAAAAGGGTTCTTGAACATTTTTATCCCATTAATTAAAAAAAATGTATTAAAATTTGAGGGAGAATTACACTATGCAATGCCATAGGTTGTGTCCGTCATTCAACGCTATGGGTATTTGTTATTGAGCGTATTTGATGTAGAGATTAATTGCGTAGCTGTTGCTGTGTAGTTAATGTTGGTGGCGGTTGGTTTTTTTTTCTTTTCTTTTTGCTACGAGAGATTTCGGTATAGATAGTTGTTAGTGAGCGTATTTGGGTGTGGAGATTAGTAGTGTAGCCGTTGCTATGTAGTTCGTTTTGGTAACGTTTTGGGTACGAGAGATTATGTGTTTTTTTTCCTAAACTATATTATGCATTTACCAAAAGCTATCACTAAGCAGCTTTTGAATTAAAATAAACAGTAAATTCCCCATACATTAAAGTGATAGATTTTAAAACAATTTTAAAGCATTTTAATTATCAGATAGTATGATGATGAGTTTGTATAAGTAAAAATTTAAAATGTTCATTTATGATAACACTCGTTTTTAAAAAAAATGATAATATCTAATACTTAATGAACCTACTCGACACACACAACTCAATGAATAAAATAGTCTTTGGCATATCAGACTCCTTAATCTTGACAATAATAAACACAAGCATTAAATACATTTCTCCACCTACCCTTGGCGCCAGTCGACGAAAGAAATTCGGAGGAGTCCCGCAGGTCGCCGTCGACGGGTCCACTCGGATGTCCGCGATGGCATCCGACATGACGTCATACATGCTCGGATTGCAGGCCAGGTACTCCTTGTTGACGTCGTCGTAGCAAACATCGTACTCGCCCTTAGTGCCTCCGGTCAGCACGTTCACCATAGTCCACCACATCAAGACTCCTGCCGCCATGCGTCTTATTTTATCATAAAATCTCCTCATTTTGAACAACGGCATCACTGGATCTGTACGCAAACCATTTCTAAAGATCCTCTCTAATGAGATATTGCAAAGTCTTAGCGCCTCCTTAAGAAAAATATTGTGGATAAATATAAAAAGAAAAAAAAATAGCTGAAGAAAATGAAATTGCGATGGAACTGTCGTTCAGTTTAGTAACTAAATGATGTGCCACGTTGTGATCAGCAGGCGTGCATCAACTGCTCTTTTCACGGTTGTTACGGAGACAATCTTTCTCAATGGTAAATATAAAAGGATTTTTGAAAGATACGGGAAGTCCCACGTGTGACAGCTCGAGGCAGTCCCATCGAATGCTCGCAGCAGTCTAGCACAGCGTTTCTCAACCTGTAGGGTCGCGACCCCTTTGGGGGGTGGGGGTCGAACAACCCTTTCATAGGGGGTAGCCTGAGACTATCGGAAAACACTTATACTCTACAGTTATGAAGTAGCAACGAAAAATAATTTTGTGGTTAGCGGGTCGCCCGCAACAAAAGGAGCTGTATTGAAGGGTCGCGGCCATTAGGAAGGTTGATAACCACTGGTCTAGCAGTTAAAAATATTTTTTTTTATAAATATATTTTTTAGTCGTTTCATGTATGGATCAGTGAAAAAATCAAGTGTTGAGTTAAGGGGCGTGCCCCTTGAGACCATATGCTACACTATTGAACATCCCACTTCTCACCATCCCCCCCCCCCATTCACAACGCATGCTCAAATTGGAAGGGAAAAAAAAGGTTAAAAGAAGTATATATATGATTATTTTTGTTTGGGGAAAAAGGGGGGGGGGAATTTGTGTGGAAACTGAAAGAGAAAAAAGAACATGGCGGAAATGGGGGGTCAATAAAATATTCACAACGCATGCTCAAATTGGAAGGGAAAAAAAAAGGTTAAAAGAAGTATATATATGATTATTTTTGTTTGGGGAAAAAGGGGGGGGGGAATTTGTGTGGAAACTGAAAGTGAAAAATGAACATGGCGGAAATGGGTGGTCAATAAAAACAGATTTGTCAAGGGAAGCAATCAATTGTTTATATAGCACACGTTGGAAATGGGCAGTAGTCATTGGTAAATAATACACTTTGGACTAGTGACTAGGCAAAAAAAAAAAGGGGGGGGGGGGGCTGAATAGTCTTATCCGGCCTTCATCTCTTAAAATATATATTTTGCTTCTGATGTGTCCTGCTTCTTTTTCACAACCGGCCCTCCCCTATTAAACATGTTTTATATTAAAAGTATCGAGTGCAAAAAAAAAAAGCTGTCATTCATGTAAAAAAGTTGAATTTTTTTTCGGAGGCGACAATCATTTTATTACATAAAGAGCACGGGTATGGTATAGGACTGTCTGTAGAACTATTGTTTAAATGCCGGCATGTAGGGTGTAGGACTATCTGTAAGCCTATCATTTACAAAGAATGAGAAACTAACTTTTTTTTAACACTTGGACCCATTATTATTTTCACAAAATACCCGGACCCGGCGTTAAAAAAAATTGCACCCGGTTAAACCCTAGTCTAAGACACAAATTGGTTTGTTCAACGTGAACTTATTTAGGACCATAAAAAGATATGGGTGACGAGACTGGATGCTTCCTTGCAAACGATCAGAAGCAAGCATGCTAACGGCAGAACAGGAATGATCCCTTTCGTGGCTTATGTTTCTTTCAATGTCGTCCAGAGGGAGGGGGTGGGAGGCATTTGTGGTAGAAATATACAATTTTATGCTGTTTTTAAAATTAAAAACTGATCATTATTATATATCGTTTATGAACGGAATAAATATGTTAATAATACATGAGAAGTTTACAAAAGAAATCATCTATTTATTAAATTTAAGATTTGATCAGAGAGAAATCGTGTAAAAAATAAGGTATAAATGTCCAAATGTTCAGTTGATTGAAATCTTTATTTTGAATTTCAAACTACTACAAATTTCTTCCGATAAATGACAAATCGCCCCTTCGACATACTTAAACACATTTATTTTTAGCCACATGCATAGTATTTATTGTCATATTGACGCTTTAGAATATTTTCTAAACCCGGTCGCAAAATAAATGAAAAAAGCATGGTAATCGAAATAATAGTTGACAAAAACGGTTTTAAAAATCTTTCTTTTTGATTTTCATCTAAAAAAAATAAATAAAAAATAAATAGATTTTGTTTAAAAAAAAGCCTGCTAAAACAGATGAGACATATTGTTTATTCTTCTGATATCAAAGAGAAAAGATCAGTTGGGAATCTAATAAATATAGGCTAAGTATTTAAAAAAACACATCCTGTTATTCAGGAAACTGTGTTATATACAAAAAGAAGTACATTTAAAGAAAACACAACCGCTTTCGATTTAATACAATTGGATGAAACGTGAACTTTATATGCACCCGTTAAATTCTTCATTTTTTGGGCCATCTTTCATTTTATCTCACCCAAACACTCAAGCATTCGAGTAGATTTAAAATTATACTAATAAACGATATTGTTTAAAAGCTTGGTGCCTTCACGTAATTTATAATTAACATCGATTCTATGCATACTTTAAAATTTCTTTAATGATGGAATATAATTTGGAAAACAGATTGCACACGTTTGAACGTCCTCAAAGTCTCTAAACTCGAGACGTTGCAAATAAATACATAATAAATAAAAAAATACCAACATCAGGAAGTCAGGACTTCAGCCAATCTTTGGAACAGCACGATATTTATAATCGAATAAGTTTAAGTATGAGCCCCTCACGAGATTAGCCTCAACCCTACGGACCATAAAAGATATGAAGCGTATCGAAGGCTAACATAAGCTCCACTAATATGGCTAACATAAGCTCCACTAATATGGCTAACATAAGCTCCACTAATATGGCTAACATAAGCTCCACTAATATGGCTAACATAAGCTCCACTAATATGGCTAACATAAGCTCCACTAATCACTAATATGGCTAACATAAGCTCCACTAATATGGCTAACATAAGCTCCACTAATATGGCTAACATAAGCTCCACTAATATGGCTAACATAAGCTCCACTAATATGGCTAACATAAGCTCCACTAATTGTCATCGGTTCAAAGCTCCCGTTAACATTCTTTTTAAAAACAAAATGTTATGAAAATGTCAGTTTAGTGTTGTTTTGTTGTTTTTTTAATATAAAATATGTATTCGTTTTATTATTGTATACATTTTCCTCCGGTTTTTTAGGGGGGGGGGGCGGAGATATACCTGGAAGCCCCCCCCCTCCCCCCCAACCCTCACCCACAGTTCTTAAGAAGCGGGTTTTGAATGGCCTGTCCACCAAGGGATGTACTTCTTTTTTTGATATATCGAGGCGTGGCAGCAGAATATTGGTCTGTCCCAGGGGGGCACTACTAACCCTAGGAGCGTCACTAACCCTAGGAGCGTCACTAACCCTAGGAGCGTCACTAACCCTAGGAGCGTCACTAACCCTAGGTGCGTCACGTGTTGCTGAGCTTTTCCAACTTCTAAACCATTTAAAAGTACTCTCCGCATTTGGCAACACCCCACAAACAAACTAGCCACGCCCTGATTACAATGGGGAAATAGACGAAATACTAGGACTTCTTATCAGTATTGATTTTTCTTAAGTATGAAACAAAAGCTAATCCTATATAATCTCATGTTACAACCCATATTAGCATCATGCATTTACCCATACATATCGGGAACATGTGCAGTCCGGCCACCTCTTACCCATGTAGTGCTATGGAACAGGCGCTGTCCGACCAGCTCTCACCCATGTAGTACTAGAGTAACTCGTGTGTCCATCATGCAATATTTCAAAATTGAAATGTGGCCATGAATCAAATAGCCAAAAATAATTTAAAAAAATAAAAAAAAATAAATAAAAATCAATATTTAAAGGGAAGCTAAAATTATAAGCCCCCGCCCCCCCCCCCAACCACACACACACACACACACACACACAAATCCTATACGGGGCAAATAAACCTACTGCAGACACTTAAATTCTCAAACCAATTCACTTCCCCTGATATCAGTTTGAACTCAAATTTAATTATATACCATGCACTGGACAGCCTGGTCTTACATTTTCCACAGAGGGCTTTTACATTTTCACGGTCAAAGTCAACAGACCAATCTTTCAAGTTATTATTTGATTTAAACAATTTTGAATACGATGTCATGTAATAAAATGTTGGATTCGTCGTGAAAAATCTTCTTTTTTCTTTTCTGGTGGGAAAAAACAACAACCCAACCTGCCACTCAGCTCTGTGTAAGTGGTCGAAATATAAAAACAACATAAAAAATTAGACCCAAAAGAGCATGACTCAGGCCCTGGCTTACACCAAACCAGCTGTGTGTTCATTTATTCCGTCATGCATCATCAACATGGTACAGAGTGTAAAGGGCAGTCACCGTAATTTTAAACTCAATTTGCTTATCTGTGGCAGGTGAGGAGAGGTGTTTGACATTACACACGCTCTCGGGGAAAACAAAAAAATCGAATGGGCCCACGTAACGGTGGGGGACACGTCATAACTGCGACTCAAATATTAGCGCATTGCTCATATCGTTTTATGTTGAAACAGGCCCGTTCTTAGGCATACGCTGACTACGCATTCGCGTAGGGCCCCGAACGTGAGGGGGCCCCCGTGAGGCACCCTCGATCCCCCCGTTTTTTTTAAAACTGGCACTGCAGCCGTCTGTGTCACTCACGTTACCTTCCTCATCCTGAAATTTATCATTCTGAGTTGAATTCGGTGGCAGGGGAAGGGAAGCAGCAGGGGGGCGAGCTTTGGGGGTGGTAGACGGGAAATCGGGGGCTTGGCCATGGGAATGGGAAAGGGGAAACATTGATGAAGCCAGAATGGAGGTGACGCAGTGGTGGGTGGTGTTTTCTCCTCAGCTCGAGGGAGCTCCACCCCCGGAACCCCCCCCCCTTCCGGGGCCCCCAACCTACGCTCCATGCTTAGGGCCCCCAAACTCCTAAGAACGGCTCTGGTTGAAATGGCGATTGTGATCTGGGAGTTGTTCGGGTTTCAACACGTGCTCACCTTCCAATAATCAACTTCTTATACAAATACAATGCAGT